TAGGACTTTAAGACAATCAAAAATGAAACTAACGGGTGAAATAAATCAGTTTCGCATATATATGTGTTACTAGATCAAAATATTTAGAAAATTTAAATTCAACTTAATATTGATCAAAGTGATTATCTATAAATCAATAAAGCACTCTAATATGGTATATCTTGTTGTTTGATTGCTCACATTGAATTTTAATACTTTTTACCATCTAAAAATTTAGTAGAGTAAGAAATTGTGGTAAAACTCAAAATTAAAGTCTACAAAAAATGACACAAAATAACCTGAGTTTACTTTCGGTGCTATTTATTATCTGTTATTCGTTATATTTTGGGTTAAGTAAATGAAGACCTAGGAGTTTTTTGAAGGAGTTTAGTTCCCTGAGCTGGATGGTTTGGTCGTGGAGATTTCATGGTGTAGAAGAACGACCAAACCATCCATCTCAGAGAACTAAACTCCATCAAAATCATTCACTTGAGCTACAAATCTTCTCCACCATCTCAAGACCTAAGAGTCTCTAATAATGTCAAAAATTATATTCTTTTATTTAGTTAACGCAACATTTTAATTCAATTATTTCGATGATTTGTTTTATTTATTTATTTGAACACATAATTGTTGGTACAAGAGGGCACCAAATATTTATGCGCCACACAAAACAATGAGAATTTGAAGAGAAGGAAAAAAAGAACAATCACGAACAGATTAGTATAAGATAGTGCAATAATAATAATTATTATTATTATTATTATTATTATCATTAGTATTATTATTATTATGGGGGAAACGAAAAGGTACAATCAGAAAAAATCTTTCAATTAAGGAAGAAGCAACCACTTTTTATGAAGAAAGTAAAAGAACGTTACAGCAGGATCACTGCTGGCTTCTATTCTGAGCCATATCTGATAACGTCTCTAGCCACTGTGTTTCACCATCTATAGGACCCCGGCCAGGGAGTCGTGAAGAATCAACACAAGCCAGCCCTTTGCAGCTTTCTTTCATACCACAACACCATGTAATACACTGACCACCTCTCCGCTTTTTCCAACCAGTCTCAGAGTCGGCAAATAATGCACGACGAGGAATTCTCTGGAACGACATTCGTAGAACATGTCCAAGCCACCGAAGTCGGTGTTTCAAGATGGTGACACCAATTGCATTATCGTCTCTGTGACCGAACACACGGTGCCGAACCTCTGCATTACTCACATGGTGTTGCCACTGGATGTCAGCGATCCTTCGTAGACAGCGATAATCACACATCCTCAACTCGGAGAGGCCAGGTTTCACAAGCATAGAGCAAAACTGCTCTCACCGACGCGTTATAAACCCGACCTTTTACAGCCAGACTAACATCACGAAGGCGCCAAAGATGGCCCAGATTGGCTTAAGCCGCTCTGGCTTTCACTATACGTGCATTGATCTCATCACTCACGCCACCAGCAGCACAAATGTAGCTACCTAGATACGCGAACTTCTCGACTACTTCTATCTGCTCACTATCCAGGATGAGTACAGGATTAGAATCCTGCCAGTCTTGTAGAAGAACTTTGCACTTCGAAGGTGCAAAGCACATACCATACCTACGGACACTGATTGCCAACTGATTAAGTGCGGATTGCATGGCTTGGGTATTCTCGCACAGTAAGACAATATGATCCGCATACTGAAGGTCGAGAAATGTTTTTCTAGGCAACAGATTCCACAACTCCATTACTTACATTCATCAGAGCTGTTTCCAGAATGTCATCGATGGCAAAGTTGAAGAGGAATGGTGAGATTGGACAACCCTGCCTAACCCCACTGCTCGAATGGAATAGTGGAGAAAGGTGGTTGTATGCCCTCACTCTGCCTGAGGTGTTTGTGTATAGGGCTTTTAGGATGTTAATAAACTTCTCAGGCACACCCTTCTTCAATAGACAATCCCAGAGAACAGTTCTGTCCAACGAATCGAAGGCAGCCCTGATATCAAGAAACACTATGATTGTTGGCCTTTGATATGTATGGCGATGTTCTAACACTTGGCGGAGGGTGAAGATATGATCGATACATCCTCGACCAGAACGAAACCCAGCCTGCTCCTCGCGAGTCAATCTTTCTCGGGTTCTGAACAACCTACGAAGTATGACGGAAGCCAATAGCTTGGACGCAATCGGAAGTATACTTATCCCCCGATTGTTGTTACAGGAACAACGTGAATCCTTTTTAAAGATAGGGACAACTATAGACTCATTCCATGACGTTGGTACACTCTCTAGTTCCCAGATCTTTGTAAACAACGTCGTCAGTCCCTTAGTCAGAAAGTCACCACCATCTTTAAAAAGAGCCGGAGGTAAGTCGTCTGGGCCCGGTGATTTGTAACGTTTCAAGAGTTGGAGTTCCTTGCGGACTTCCGCCTCATTTGGTGGATCAGTCGTCACCGGCCATGGAGGGCAGGACAGTCTGACCGATGTTGCCGGAGCAGCAGGCCAGTTGAACTGCCCTTCGAAAAATTCTGCCCATCGTCCAAGACGTCGATGGATGTTAGTGATTGGCGTTCCGTCATCCTCGCAGATTGTTTCGCTCACACCAGACTTCTTGCTGCCAGTGGCTCGGATGAGTTGGAAGAGCTTCCGATAATTACCAGATTCAGCTGCTGCTTCCAACTCATTACCACGCTCCGACCACCAGGCTTCTCAGTCCTTACGCAGGCTTTGTCTAATTTCAGTACGTAAAATCCTTCGTCTGTGGTCAAACTCACGGTCACCCGGAGCAGACCGACGGGCTTCAGTGAGTTGTAAGGAACCAGAAGAAACCCAGTGCTTGTAAGCGGGACGTTTCACGAACCCACAACAGACTGTACCCGCCATTTTCATGGCGTCATGCAATTGCAACCAATGCTCATCTATACTTTTCGGTGGAATGGTAGCTAGCCTAGAAGCTGGCTCGGTTCGGTACTTACTAGCAACAGAAGTTGCAGCCAGCTTGCTAACATCAATCCTTTGGTGGCGGTCATTTCGTTGTCCACTTAAAAGTAAGGTAAGATTGGCGCAGACCAGGGTATGATCCGAGTCTAGTTAGGTACTCCAAAAGGAGCGGCAGTCTTGTAAACAACCACGCCAGCGGTAGCTGATCGCGATGTGATCAATTTGAGTCCAGGCTTGAGATGCAGAAGGGGGACGCCAGGTGGCACATCGGCGATGACTGTGCCGAAAGTTAGTGCTAGCCAGAAACAGGTTGTGGTCTGTGCATAGTCACAGTAGACGTTCCCCGTTATCTGTCCTGCGACCAACAAGTCCCCACCGGCCACCTAAACGACTCTCTTCTGTGCCTAGACGCCCGACCTGAGCATTCAAGTCTCTGGCTAGTACTACAATATCTGTCGAACGCACTTTCTGGAGAAAAACAGTTAACTGGTGGTAGAATTCATCCTTGATTGCATCCGGGTTGCAATCTGTCGGGGCATAGGCGGAGATGATGAAAAGACATCGTTTCTCACGCCGATTTCTTCTCACTTTGATGGAGCTTTCTAATCTAACAGCACATAACCGACTGTTAATTGGATCCAGTCGATTAGTGCTGCCTTAACTCTAGCGCTTAGTGCGACACCAACGCCAGCAAGACCAGACGAAGATGCCACAGGGTCCCCGGATAAACGCACATAAAACAAACTTTTTGAAGTGACAGATGGAGAGCGAACTTGTAGTACTTCACCAGAGTCTTGAATACGGGTCTCGGATAGACAACACATATCAATATTAAGACTTTCCAAAGACATAGCCAGCCCTATCTGTTGTCCGACCTGCATAAGTGTGCGAACGTTGAAGGCAGCCAGTTTGAATGGTGCACGTGGTTTCAGAAAAACTGCTTCAGTACTCATATTCGGTAGTAACATACAATTTTCAACCAGGCAGTGACTCGAGAACGTTTAGATAAAGCTGAATTTTCACCATAGGCGAGCTGCTATTTAAGTCAAAAAATAAGGATACACAGAGTGGGAATAAAAGAGAGTGAATAAATGACGTAGTAAATAATAATAATAATGATAATGACAATAATAATAATAATAGTAATAATAATAATAATAATAATAATAATAATAATAATAATAATAATAATAATAAAGTGAATCGGTTGATTGCTAATCGAAGCAAGAAAAGTATCTTCCATAAATATCGACATATCATCATATATGTGTGTAGACTGAGACTCTACCCGGGTGCCCAGACCGAAGCTGGTGATTTTCTTAGGGGAACACTCCCCGAGCCTTTGACCTAAAGGTTTGACCTACAAGGCAGTGGAGCATCGTGAGGAAATACAGTACCATGGTAGCCGGTGAACGAAAATTGGTTCATACGCCATTTGTTCCTGCAGGATACTGGAGCCCACGTGTACCATTTCAATGAACGTTCTAGGAAATATTTTGAATAAACATTTTGACTAGAATTTTCTATAAAAATGTTTTTTTAAAATTATTATGTTCAAAAATTTTTACTGTAATTCCTTTAAGACTGCATCCTCTCTGACTGATTCTCAGGCTTACGCCACATCCTGCAACATATATCCAAACATCTCTTATTATAATATCGACGGTAAAGGCATAAAATACATTTCTAACTCTTCTGATCTTTCAGTGTTTATTTATTTTCTCAACTATCCAATGACAGGCTACAAGATTATATGGAATATCTTGAATTTGAGTTTCCGATTGTTGTGTGCATCGAATTATTCAGCTCAATCGGGTACACATGACTGAACTTTGTGAAAGTTCCACATTTTTAACAAAACATTTGTTATCGTCTTATTAGTTTTTTTGTTGTTTAAGTAAATTTATTAATATATTAAAATGATTCCCAACTCAAACATGTAGGTTGATTATGGAGTTAATTACTTATCTACGAGCTATTAAAAATATGCTAGATCGTGAATACTAGTTTTTTTTCATTTTTATTTCTAATTATTCTTTCTAATTAAATGGAAAAATCTCACTCATTTTTCCTGGAATTTTTTTAAATTTAAAAATTCAGGAGATGGAATTTTCACACCATCGGAATTGGAAATATTTTTACAATTTCATGAGATAATGCTTTAACTGGTCAATTCACTTTTTAGCAAAGCGGTGTGCAATTTAAACAGCGAACAAGAGATTTTTGCAAAGTGAGGTGACTATTCGAGGAGGGAATATGAAGAAACAAAACAGTAAAAACAGAATAGATATTTCATGTGGCAATTTTATTTTAAGTATTATCTCTTTTGCTTTTGCTTACATCACGATTCCCATTCCAATTAACTCAAATATTAATGCCATTGCAATCACTGTTGTCGTTGTTATACTATTGATTGTTATCACCAAGTACTTCGTTAACCCTTCTTGATTGTGTTGTTATTTGGTCAAATAAATGTGGTGAATATAATGACAATTAGATGAAATTAGTTTTAACTTTGAATATCGGCAAAATTTGATCATCTAGTGATTGGTGAATTTTCATCATAATAAGAAAGTAATGATATGTGAATCTTCATAAAGGTTTATACGGTTGTCTAATTAATTTTATGTCAGTATATTATCGTCAACTATCTCTTTAACGTAACTTCCTGATTATACAAACTTATAATTAAATTTGTTATACAACCTACTGATAGTTAACTGATAATGTCAGTATTGAATATGTTCTAGATATAAATGATCTAAATTTTCAGCTAGAAACAATTTCCAAAGTTGTCAACTATAGTGTCACTGTGTTGCTTTGAATGTTGGTAAAAAGTCGCCGTCACTATTTGATTATATTTTCATTTATGGACAACTTTTCATATGCAATGGAACTAACTCATGGAAAAATACTGCTTCGTGTTATCAATGGAGCTAGGCAAAAAATCCCATTTTAACCATAACCAAAAGTTCATGATAGGCTATAGCAAAAAATCTGCTCGTCAAAATGAAATAAAAATATGGTGAAGAAGACGAGAAAGAATGATGCCGACGGTATATCGAATATAAGAATAGGAAGTGATAAAGATTAATGCTGGTAATGAGATATGACCGAGCTAAATCTCGTTCATTCGAAAGGTATGTTATACTGGGAAAATATGAAAATATTCAGGACCTTCACATGCTGCTATTCTGACACATTGTTAGAACAATGAGTTACACTAGTCTTTAGATTTTGATCCAGACAGTTATAACGGACAAACGGATGTCACTGTTCTCAGATATATTTCATCCTACAGTACTTCATAGGCGTCAGTAAATAATACGTGGTGTAAAAGCACCTAAGACGCATCAAACGTGCTTCAATTCCTAACACCAACATTAAGCTTCTGTACTGTTTGTACTGTGTTTACACTTCTTAGAAGACGATAATTGAATGTCTTCGGCTGTGGCGTCGTGCTCCACATTAATTAGAACTGCTCACATTGAAGCATTTGGCACCTTGTCTTTTAAGGACAGACTAGTATAAGACGTTATTACTCTTGTAATGCATATATTGGTCTCACTTGCTAAACCACCACTAGCATTCATAACTGCATAAATGCAAATACATCTCAACTAATACTTCGCAGAAGACAAAATAAAATAACCTTCTGCAACCCAATCGCTATTTTGGAATAAAAAGGAGGATATTGAGTCCTTTAATCTATCTCATATAAGCAGCTTCCAAAAATTATCTATTCGCATAAAACGAATTTTCGAACCGATTAAATATTAGTGACCAAGTCGTGGTTGATTTCTATCACTTGGACAATGCACAGGATGGGCAATTAAGTCTTTTGACAAATACTTTGAGACTTGATGAACCACCCTTAATAACGTACCCAATTTGCAGCGGATTACAAATGCACTATCTATGGACTTAAGCACTTCTTTTTGGAATCTGTTTTCAATACTCAAGAGTAAAGCCTACTCTGGCTAGAGCTCATGTAACCATTTCCATAAAACTGACTCAATTCACTTATATATACTAATTGGGTCATCGTAATAAGGTTTATCCTTGAGATTTTGTGTTATAACTATTAAGATGGAGAATTTGAAGTATAATTTGGATATAATTAAATAACGTTTTCATGAAAAACTTAACCGTCAGAATAAACATAAAGACATTACTAATAAGAAAATAGCAACCATGAGTAGGTCACCTTTGCTCAATTATCGACTTTGTATAGTTTGAAAAACACATTCCAAAGAGTTCATCAATAAAAACTGTTTATTCACCTCATTTCAAAAATAAAATAACATCAATAAAACCAGGTTAATAACAGTAGCATATCATGGCGACTACTTCATGTTTTATTTATAGAAATCTAAAGTATACTTCTAATTTTTGGTCTAATTACGCAGATTGTTAAAATCAATATCTATTGTTAAACGATAACAAAATCAGAAAAAGTCCTTTCATATCTACATTCCTTATTAAATAAATAACTCCACAGCTATAGATGATACCTTACCGTGATGGTAAGGTTTGCTTATTGTGATGACCAGATAGTTATTCCTATTGGTCTTATTATGTCAAGCAGGTTAGCTGAAGAACGATAAGAATAAGAGCAGTGATTCATAGATGACGAAGTTATGTTGCTGGCTGTACTGGGATGTGATGATAGTAGTTCCTCCCAGACAAAAAGCATTCACAAAGACACTATCTTTTCATAACGGAAAGAGGTTAGAAAAGGTTGACCATGAAAGGAGCGCATATCGCGTTACCCTATGGATTTCCGATGGCATTAAGAGTTCCAAAGTATAGAGCTAGTATAGGTTAGACTTCCCACAAAAAGGCCATGTGTCCAGGAATAGGCAGTTGTCCGTTGATATATTCAATCAATGCAACAAAAGAATACTGCAGAAGTGTTTTCATTGTAACGTTGATTAACTTTATGATTGCAAAGATAGCAAAAAACAAAACCTTTCTTTTAATCTGTTAAAGTGAATATGCAATGACTACACACAATATATTGCTCACACTTAATATATCCATGTTCACCTTGCTTTATAACTCAACCTTTTGTCTTCTTTAGAACCAATTTAAAATGAAGCTGCTAACTGGATTAATACAAATGGGTCTAGTTAACGTATCATCCCGACGAAACTTCAACTATTGTATGTCAGGTTTACCCCTATTTTGCAATCTGGCTATCATTATCGAAAAATCGTCCAGTCAGTAAAAGAAACTCCAATAGTCGGTGTACAAACGGATTTACTAGTGAACGACGGATTGCATTATGTGGTCATGAGTAAAGATGATATGTTTTAAGTATCCTAGTTCAATCACTTTTAGCAAAACATTATGGTGATAATTTCTAGCTGCCTGATTGAATTATTATTGTTCCATAAACGGTACATAGATTGTGTGCAAATAATGAAACTAACAATTCCGAGATTATAAAAATAACAAACCTGAAGAAAATACTTAAGATACATGTTTACACTAGTTGTCGTGAGAAACAAGCTTACGACAAGTACACAGAATCTAATAATATTCTCCCGTTATAAACCAGGAATATTTTCTAGTGATTTACGGAATATTACATAAATTCAAATAGTCTATACTCATTATCAACGGATGCCGAATGGGACGTTTATTCAGACCTTTTCGTGGATATTCCCCCTCAACACAATAAACTGTTGTTGAAGGAAATCAACTACAATTATAATAATGGTAGCATAAAAATTCAAATCTTATTTATATACTCGGTAGCTAAGCAATTAACAAAATTTTAGGCAATAAAAGCAACTTGTTAGTGGATAAACGTTGTGATTCACCTGCTAGAATATATGAAATATGAATAAAAACTGGTAATTAATATAAATCTAAGTCGTTCAGTATCAAATTTTATCAAGGTTACACATATCATACAAATCGGACATTTAAATATAAATTTCAATTATTATAGTTTCGAAAATCTCTGATAAAGAACTTTTTTCAACTGCTCAAAATTGTGGAAAGGAACAATAAATTAAAACCTTGTTCGAATGAATCACATTTCTGCTTAATAATACAAGATCACAATATAATATAAATATGTACACTTGTTTACAAAAAGGTGTCTTTACGATGGGATTAGTAATGAGATTTTTTATGTTTTTTCTTGGACTTTGAATGATGATCGTCCCGATCTCTTGGGTCCTCACGATCATAAGAATCACATCTAGGAGTTGGTGACCTCCGTGGAGATCTGTCAGAGATTCGGTTACGCGCAAATGCATAAGCAGCTGGTGGTGAACGATGGCGCCTTTTACGAGCCTACAAACGAGGTAAAATTCGTGCATTACAATAGCGTTTTTATAAATGAACAAATTGAAATGATAACAACATGTATTGGTGTATCATTGCACCGTTAGAGCGAAAAGAACCCTTGATTAATAGAGTATTCACATATTTAGAAAGTGAAAAGCATTAACATACTTTGTTCTCTATTTCCAAAGCTTCTCGACGACGTTTCATGTTAGCAACTACAGCATGAGCGACGGCTGCAGGGACTGAATCAGGAGCTGGTGGAGGTGACGAACGATACCGATCAGCCGTCGTTGATGTGATATTAACTGTCGAAGATTTGGAGATAGTTGTACTAGTATTTATACTTCCTTTTGTGATAGAATTAGTTAACTTCAACTGGGTAACCAATTGGGCAGCTTTCTTACGCCTTTCCTCACGCAGACGCTCTTCTTTGGCTGTAGGGACCGTAACTTGATAACCATCGGCAGAGAAGTCTAGAAGACTTGTAGGTTCATGTATATCTATCGTTTGGAGAGAATGAACGACATAAAAATTCAGCAAACTTGTTTGTAAAGTACGGTATGTCAAATTAAAAAGTATGCTTTAATGAAACTAAATAACGGAAACTTATTGTATACATATATATATCAAGAGCAAGGACTGTGTTTACCTAATAAATCTTCAAGAGCACATGAAGGCCAGTTGGAGGTTAAATGTGAACTTGAATTAGAAATCGACTCCACAGGAGAACATAAATTATCATAGGGTGAGGTGGTGTTACAGACAGACTGAACAGGAGACTGAATGTTATGCACTGGTTTATTTCTCTCATGTCGTTCAACTGATATGGAGGGTGATGTACAAACAGAATTTGAATTTGAAGCTCCACTAGAACGATTTGTGTAAGAGTATGGACTTTCAACTTGAGGTGAAGATTCCGAGGAAGACGATGAACTAGGACTGGGAATACCAGGTATAACACACATTTTTGGAGATCGAGTTTTTCTCTTCCGTGATTTTGACTGACTGTCACTTTTCGAGTGACTCAATAACCTATTAAGTTGTTCGTTATTTCGTCTTGAACTTTTGGAAACAGATTCTGAGTACTCTAGTGCAGCAGCTTCAATTATGTCCATAATTTCTCCCGCCGACGTTTCGGTATTTTGAGTGGACTGAGACTTTGGTGGAATCGGGCGAGCTAATCGGAAACTGATACCCGTTTGCCGTTCTGAATTATAAGCTTCAAAATCATCTTTTTTGTCTTTATGAGAATCAAGAGACTGAGGATTTTCTGTAAAAGAAATGTTATAATGAGTTATACAGAAATATATAGGACAAGTATGAATTCATATACCGAAATAAAAAAAAGCTGTAAATAGAGCAACTCAATGGAAATGACTTTGAATTAGCTAGATTGCCTGTTATGGAAAACTAAACTGATGCGTAGACGAGGAAGCTATAAAGAGTGAAATTAACGTTTAACTTCAAATATATGACGGTTTGTTACATAAGCTAATTTATTGGTTGATTGAGAACAATATTGCAATAAATTCTTAGATCAATGAGATGCAACTGAGAAAAACATCGAAACCCTACAAAATAGTGCATTATTACGTAACAGAAACTATCGGAACAGAATACTGAAGTATTAGAAAACCTTTTGTCTCTCAAGCACTGCACTACAATCTAAATTGGCAATTTGGAAACTATAAGCTTCATATGGGAAATAAAGATAAACTAAGTCACGTCTGCCTTGATGCTAAATTAAATTGCTCTATAAATACCCAAGTATGGCACGTTGTATTTTCGATTATAGCAACGGCAAATGTATTATTCAGTATTTATTTATAGTAAGTATTCGTAAAACCAACTAAACTGAAGTTTATGTATATCTCCCCTATGATAGTAAATCCGTTGACCACAAAGAAGGTAGCATAAATGAGTTCAAGACTTTGAAATGTTCGCTGCAAAAAAATACAACTAGAAGGAACTCCTCTAGTAATGAACGCTTGGACATAATCAAAACTCATATCGCAGTCAGAATGATCGAAAGAGATTTGGATTAGGGAATTCAATCATGAGAAACTATCATTACAAATTATTTAAAATACATGTATTTTTCATTTTTACAACGCAAAATGTCGGACAAGCGATTGGGCCAAAAGACTTTTTTTTAATTGAGAACTTGTGAATGTTCATAAAAGTTTGTACTATGTTAACAGAGAAATGAATACTAATTATCACTCAAACTACTTACTAAGAGAACCATTTTTTGTTTTATTATCTTGAAACATTGTTTCAGGCTTTTCATTTGAATCCAATTTTTTTGACGAGCTTACTTTAAATGATTTTGAAGGAGGTATATTACTAAAATTAGAATCTGCAGCTTTAGTCAAGCTATCATCAGGGTCTAGTTCTTTTCGTTTAGCCATGTAATATGAATGTAAGGGATGATCCGATTTCAGAAATCCAAATCGTGGATCTTTGCTTTTTTGACGAATGACCAATTCTTCAAATTCTAAACCATTACGAACAACATATTCTGCCATTTTATTTATAATACCACGCTGTTCATCACTAAGTGGAGGTCTGAAAAGAATATAAAAACAGGATTGCCGTAGTTATAGGGTACAAAAACAATGTTATATATATATATATATATATATATATATATATATATATATATATATATATATATATATTTTACCCACCACTTTTACCCATACCATGATTATGTATAAACTTGAAAAACTAATGTAAGACACTGACCGTATTTTCAGATTTCACATTTAAAATTCCAAAAAAGTTTTCAGAAGCCCATATCAGCCGGATCATACTTACAAATCGGCAGGCATTCTGCAATTATTCCCGGAACATAGTTTATTTATTTATAATATCGCACATAAACTTTTATATTGTTGCTGAATTTCACCGTAATTTTTTAATACTAATCTATAGTCTTGTAAACATGATTTACTTCTAATATACATCACAATACTGAAGAAATGAGTTAAGAAAGATTTCAGCCAACCGTAAGACTGTACGGTGAGTGTTGACAATCGACGACACATCATTATACGGGTCATGTACCTGAGAATAAATACAGTACTCTTGTTTACTTTCTTATTATCCTTCAAAAAGTATCAACGTGAAAAGATCGACAAGTGATAATCTTTAGGTTTCCTCGAAATATTGCCTATGTTTTTTAGATTTAACTAGATAGAAATGATGGAGTAACACTGTTCAAATCATAAAAGATAATTTCGTTGATAAAGTAATGAATTTGAATCAACTAAATTAATTGCACTGGTGCATATGACAAACTAGAATCCATTCACAATAGAGTGTGGTTAAGAAAACTCATTGTGACATGTAAATGATCAATAGAGTAAGCGATATAAAACCTAAGTAAATTGCTGAGTTTATAGTTAAAAGTTACCACATCCTAGACAACAATGCTTAGAGACCTTAGATGGTATAATAAAAACCAGATTGTAGAGATGCAGATCAATTACTTCATTCTCCCTCTAAGAAAACTCGAACACTAATTTGTTCTGTATTCATCTGCATCCTGTATAACTACGCCATATATCCTATCAATTTTAAGTTTTTTGAGTCTGTTGATTGTACCTTTATGGAGTTAAAAAACATGAGATCTTGAACTTAGCCATTACTGTGCGAGGTCGGATACTGTCTAGTTTGTCTCTCTCTCTCTCTCTCTTACAATACTTGGGGAAAATTGCTTCACTATCGGAGAAGGAAAAAATATATGAACTAACTCTAAATCTGAAGAATTAACAAGATTTTAGGAGATTAACACGATGAAGAAAAATGCATCAAATACAGCTGAAAAATATCTAGCTGTATTGAGTGATCTTAACACAAAAATACTACAGCAAGCAAGTACACTATGAATCATAAGTGTATATTACTGTTCCCACGATTACTGCTGATTAAATAACAATATTATTAATGATAGCAAAAGAAAAACTTACTCGAACATTACTGGAGCACTAGCTTTTAAACGTGTTTGTTGGACAACATTGACTGCAGCCGCAGCTGCTATGGCGGCTGCTTTAGCTGCTTCTTGTACAATATTGAAACTTTCATCGTTGACATGCTCAGATAAAGCCCACTGGTTAGAATAATGTGTGTAATAATGAGCATAGTAGTGTTTATAATACTCCTGGTAGATACGCTCATACTCTTCTGGAGACAAGGGATCTACTAATTCTGATATCACGTTGTCTTTCCCAACTACTGGAACATCAGCAAGGCTTTCATTGGTTGCAGAAACGTCAGCTTGGACATAAGACTGTGGTGAAGGAGTCTTCGTCTTTTCTGAATCCAAAGGTTTATTATTGTCTTTTAGGCTGTCCAAAGAGTTATTGTCGACCTCACTAGGATCGTAAAGAGGACGTTCTGTTTCTGTTAATACCTCAGGAGTAGCGGCAGAAGACTGGACATCAGAAGCAGGGGTAACACGATTTGCAGCTGCGACAGCTGCAGCCCTGTAATGGTACAATAAACATCAAAACTTAAGCAGTCTTTTAAGCAACTTTTAAAACTACTTATTTTATGCATATATTACAAAATAACCGGAATTGAGTGACAGCTCGATAATAACAGCTCAAATATGAACAAATTTCACAAGCTATGGATACATTGGTTACTGTTAGGAGGATCATTGTTGTTATGCTGGTTTATGACTAGTCCATTAAAATTCAAAATTCCGACTACTAAAAGGGAACAGAAGTCTAGAAACAGTTTGATAGTAGTGAAGCTGTAACTTCAAATAAAACGATAGTGCAGAAGAGAACACCAAACATACAACGAGTAATAAATCTATGAAGACATACGCTGAATGTGTCTAATAAACCAAATCAACAATGAATCTTAAAACCTTACGTCGTACTACAACGGAATAAGCACACAATTTTGTGCAACGACCACGTTATAGGTGAACTATAAGACACTAGTGAACGACCGTAAACAATGCTTACATCTGAGTTTCCAAAGATGTTGTAAAGACTGATGGCTGAGAATAATCAGACACAAACGTGTATTTTACAGTTCATTCTTGTTAAAAAGAAAATCATTTTTAGCTGTGACTCTCTATTACCCTAAAAATACAGCGAAGCCAAAGTACTTCTTTGCTATAATTATGTTAGATTCTGCAAAAGACACATAACTATACTAAGATGTATCTATTAACCAATCACTAATCGAACGAATGTTACGAACATACGGAAGAAATCTAATTCTCATGTTTGATCACATCATTATCACCCAAATAGTTATAAACGGATTAGGCTTCCGAAAAAATGTGCATCAACTTGGGATGCTGCACTTGACAATGGCAGGGTAAGATGAAACTAACAAAATCATAGTAATATTGTTGATAGTAAAAAAAAAACAACCAATGTAGACAGTTAAGATCGAAAAGAACAAATAAACTTCGAGGGTTCAAATGTATAGGGAACTATTAAGACCTGGAATTCAACGAAACATAAGGAACGGATGATATGATTTCATTATTGAGACCAATTTTAAGCCAACACCCAATTCATCTAATCATAGATTGGGATCATTTCGTTGACCTCAGTTCCAAACTGTCTATCACTCTTCAACATACGACAAATCTATGAACTGAGCTTTTTCTAATTCATTTGTGCTAGGTAGCATATTATAATGGGGTCTCGACCATGTCAGTCAATGAACGTTCATATCCTCATCAGCTGATTTACCATTGTTATGTTGTAACCTATCTCTATTATTATTTATTTATTTATTTGAACACATAAATATTGGTACAAGGGGGGCACCAAATATATATGCGCCACACAAAACAATAATAATTTGAAGAGGAGAAAAGAGAAAAAAAAAGTAATGAACGTGGGGAATTATAAAAAAAAAAAGGGAGAGAGACAGAACAATGGTGGGGGAAACGGAAAGGTACAGTCAGAAGAGATCTTTCAGTTAAGGAAGATACAACCACTTTTTATGAAGAAAGTAAAAGAACGTTACAGCAGGATCGCCACTGGCTTCTATTCTGAGCCATATCTAATAACGTCTCTAGCCACTGCGTTACACCGTCTTTCGGACCCCAACCAGGGAGTCGTGAAGGACCAACAGAAGCTAGCCCTTTGCAGCTTTCTTTCATACCACGACACCATGTCATATACTGACCACCTCTCCGCTTTTTCCAACCAGTCTCAGAGTCGGCAAATAATGCACGACGTGGAATTCTCTGGGACGGCATTCGTAAAACATGTCCAAGCCACCGAAGTCGGTGTTTCAAGATGGTGACACCAATTTCATTATCGTCTCTGTGACCGAACACTCGATGCCGAACCTCTGCATTACTCACATGGTGTTGCCACTGGATGCCAGCAATCCTTCGGAGACAGCGATGATCGAACACAGAGAGTCGTCTAACATCCTCAACTCGGAGAGGCCAGGTTTCACAAGCATAGAGCAAAACTGCTCTCACCGTCGCGTTGTAGATCCGACCTTTTACAGCCAGACTAACATCACGAAGGCGCCAAAGATGGCCCAGATTGGCATAAGCCGCTCTGGCTTTCACTATACGTGCATTGATCTCATCACTCACGCCACCACCAGCACATGTGTAGCTACCTAGATACACGAACTTCTCGACTACTTCTATCTGCTCACTATGCAGAGTGAGTACAGGATTAGAATCCTGCCAGTCTTGTAGAAGAACTTTGCACTTCGAAGGTGCAAAGCACATACCATACCTACGGACACTGATTGCCAACTGATTAAGTGCGGATTGCATGGCTTGGGCATTCTCGCACAGTAAGACAATATGATCCGCATACTCAAGGTCGAGAAGTCTTTCTCCAGGCAACAGATCCACACCACCATTACTTACATCCGTCAGAGCTGTTTCCAGAATGTCATCGATGGCAAAGTTGAAGAGGAATGGTGAGATTGGACAACCCTGCCTAACCCCACTGCTCGAATGGAATAGTGGAGAAAGGTGGTTGTATGCCCTCACTCTGCCTGAGGTGTTTGTGTATAGGGCTTTTAGGATGTTAATAAACTTCTCAGGCACACCCTTCTTCAATAGACAATCCCAGAGAACAGTTCTGTCCAACGAATCGAAGGCAGCCCTGATATCAAGAAACACTATGATTGTTGGCCTTTGATATGTATGGCGATGTTCTAACACTTGGCGGAGGGTGAAGATATGATCGATACATCCTCGACCAGAACGAAACCCAGCCTGCTCCTCGCGAGTCAATCTTTCTCGGGTTCTGAACAACCTACGAAGTATGACGGAAGCCAATAGCTTGGACGCAATCGGAAGTATACTTATCCCCCGATTGTTGTTACAGGAACAACGTGAACCCTTTTTAAAGATAGGGACAACTATAGACTCATCCCATGACGTTGGTACACTCTCTAGTTCCCAGATCTTTGTAAACAACGTCGTCAGTCCCTTAGTCAAAAAGTCACCACTATCTTTAAAAAGAGCCGGAGGTAAGTCGTCTGGGCCCGGCGATTTGTAACGTTTCAAGAGTTGGAGTTCCTTGCGGACTTCCGCCTCATTTGGTGGATCAGTCGTCACCGGCCATGGAGGGCAGGACAGTCTGACCGATGTTGCCGGAGCAGCAGGCCAGTTGAACTGCCCTTCGAAAAATTCTGCCCATCGTCCAAGACGTCGATAGATGTTAGTGACTGGCGTTCCGTCATCCTCGCAGATTGTTTCGCTCACACCAGACTTCTTGCTGCCAGTGGCTCGGATGAGTTGGAAGAGCTTCCGGTAATTACCAGATGCAGCTGCTGCTTCCAACTCATTACCACGCTCCGACCACCAGGCTTCTCAGTCCTTACGCAGGCTTTGTCTAATTTCAGTACGTAAAATCCTTCGTCTGTGGTCAAACTCACGGTCACCCGGAGCAGACCGACGGGCTTCAGTGAGTTGTAAGGAACCAGAAGAAACCCAGTGCTTGTAAGCGGGACGTTTCACGAACCCACAACAGACTGTACCCGCCATTTTCATGGCGTCATGCAATTGCAACCAATGCTCATCTATACTTTTCGGTGGAATGGTAGCTAGCCTAGAAGCTGGCTCGGTTCGGTACTTACTAGCAACAGAAGTTGCAGCCAGCTTGCTAACATCAATCCTTTGGTGGCGGTCATTTCGTTGTCCACTTAAAAGTAAGGTAAGATTGGCGCAGACCAGAGCATGATCAGATTCCAGATAGGTACTCCAAAAGGAGCGGCAGTCTTGTACACAACCACGCCAGCGGTAGCTGATCGCGATGTGATCAATCTGAGTCCAGGCTTGAGATGCAGAAGGGGGACGCCAGGTGGCACATCGGCGATGACTGTGCCGAAAGTTAGTGCTAGCCAGAAACAGGTTGTGGTCTGTGCATAGTTGCAGTAGACGTTCCCCGTTATCTGTCCTGCGATGAACAAGTCTCCATCGGCCACCTAAACGACTCTCTTCTGTGCCTAGACGCCCGACCTGAGCATTCAAGTCTCCGGCTAGTACTACAATATCTGTCGAACGCACTTTCTGGAGAAGAACAGTTAGCTGATAGTAGAACTCGTCCTTGATTGCATCCGGGTTGCAATCTGTCGGGGCATAGGCGGAGATGATGAAAAGACATCGTTTCTCACGCCGATTTCTTCTCACTTTGATGGAGCTTTCTAATCTAACAGCACATAACCGACTGTTAATTGGATCCAGTCGATTAGTGCTGCCTCAACTCTAGCGCTTAGTGCGACACCAACGCCAGCAAGACCAGACGAAGATGCCACAGGGTCCCCGGATAAACGCACATAAAACAAGCTTTTTGAAGCGATAGATGGAGAGCAAATTTGTAGTACTTTACCGGAGCCTTAAATACGGGTCTCGGATAGACAACGAACGTCGATATTAAGACTTTCCAAAGACATAGCCAGCCCTATCTGTTGTCCGACCTGCATAAGTGTGCGAACGTTGAAGGCAGCCAGTTTGAATGGTGCACGTGGTTTCAGAAAAACTGCTTCAGTACTCATATTCGGTAGTAACATACAATTTTCAACCAGGCAGTGACTCGAGAACGTTTAGATAAAGCTGAATTTTCACCATAGGCGAGCTGCTGTCTGAGTCGAAACGGATACAAAAAGTAGAAATAGGAGACAGTGAATAAATGACGTAGTATATAATAATAATAATAATAATAATAATAATAATAATAATAATAATAATAATAATAATACCAGTCATTTCAATGTTAGTCGGAGAGAAACGAATATTTTCTATAAGCAGATAGTTCATCATAGTTTTAGTGTGTGGGCTGAGATACTGCCCGGGCGCCCAAACCGAAGCAGGTGGTTTTCTTAGGGGGCCACACCCCGAGCCTTTGACCTGAACGTCTGACCCACAAGGCAGTGGAGCATCGTGAGGAGATGCAGTCCCATGGTAGCCGGTGACCAACGATTGGTTCATACGCCATTTGTTCCCGCAGGATACTGGAGCCCATGTGCACCATAGAATTGGGATCCGGTTATAGCGCCGGACGTTCGCTTTTCGTCCTCTCATTTTCGTAAACAACACCCCCGCCACGAGAAGGCAGTGAGTAGGACTTCCCTGGCAGAGGCTGTATACGCGTGGCCGTGTGAGAGTATTTCGAGAGGGAGGGCGAACCCTCCCCGCTCTCGGCCATACCAGGGTATTTGGGGACCTATCTCTAACCTCTGCATAACTCATTCGACAGTTTCACCAAGTTACAATATAATCGGTAAAATCAGAGTGAATTATTTGAACATTTTTGAGTATGCAGTACCTTTACTTGAACACTTTAAATATTCCCCATGGTTAAGCCACTAATTAATACTATTTATACCGATGGTTTTATTTCTGTAATTAGAAGAATTCTGAGTAATCTGGATTTCTATGACTTTATCGTGTAAACAGAGAAATAAAAGCTTCACTTGTTATATGAAGCAAGAATCCCATTCCTTTAGTAAATAATTCAGAGGAACCACTAAAGTTCGTGGTGAATTTAAGTTATTACTTTGTATAAACGAAATAACTTAGTATACTACGATCCACAATAAGAACAACATTCGTTGAAAGTTTGTATTTTAGTTCAAATCCCAAAACTATCGCATCGGTGAACTTACATTTCATTAATTTTCTTGAACTTAGATATTAGTGGAGCATATGATGTATTTGAAATGTCCACCTTTGGTAGCTTTAATTCGTAAACATCTTCATGAATTGGCTGAAAACAATGGAAAATAGAGGTACGTGTAATCTTGATAATGAATATTTACACATAACAGAATGCATAAAACTGTTTGCAAGATAATCATGACTGGATGTAGATAAACTTTAAACCTGAAGATACCTGGTGTTAAGTGGATAATTACTTACCAACCCAAAAGCAGCTTACTTTCCTCGTTTAAACTATCCTATTTCTTCCTTAAAAAATGTAACGGCAATATTTAGAGAATGCATAAAACGAATATTTTACATAACAACGTGGAGCTTATTAGATGATACTTAAAACTGATGCAATAATTGTGACCATGTGTAAAAAGGTCTTACCAAAAAAGCACTTAACACTACTAATTGAGGTAAATATAACGATCTGGAAACTTAAAAAACTTGACGCTTACCTTGTTTGACTCATCCGAACTTGTAAAGAGTGTCCCAGTTGGTTTATCTGTAGTCTGACGAGGTTTTGGAACGTACCGACCTTGGGAAATTAACCTCACAATCTCCTTGTAGAAGGGATTAAGTGGGTGGTCATAAGTCAAAAAGCCAAACAGTGGATTTTTATTTTGTTTAGCTTTGAGGACTATTTCCATTTGACTTCCTTGTCGAGAGACGAAAACGGCAGTTTTTTCAATAATGTGAGCTTGTTTATCGGATTCCGGAAGTTGGAAATTCGACAAGATTTGTTGTAACTCAGGAGGACAATTATATGGCTCTTCAGCGTGCTGCTCATTAATCCCAGGCTCAGCTAGTTTAGAAAAAAGAGATTGCTTTGAAACGAAAAAGACTTTGTTTATTTAAGCGATGACGCAACATACTAGAAAGTGACTATTTATTTTTGTGAAATAATCTGTTAACAACCCAACATTCATGAATCTTCGTCAGTTTATACCACCCTCATATTAAGGCAACTAACCAATCAGCTCGATTTAAATTTACTATTGCAACTGAGTGAAAAACTCCGAAAGCAACCATATCAAATAAAATGACCATGCAACTTAAAGGATTTTCAGCACATATTTGTCAGGTGTTCTTACCAGCTCATTTGTTGACTAGACATTAAATAGTATGTTAAGCAATGGGAAGTTGATAAGGTCAAAGTAGGACGGCGAACTAGAGCTTTTGGCAGTTAGTTTGGATCTACAAAATTAAAGGACTAGATAGGACCTGTAACAGAAGGTAGCGAATAATTATGATGTGATACACTGGACATTAATCTCCAAGACTTTTTTAAATACGATAATTTGAGAGTTTACTAATCATTTAAAATTGAACTGCCAGTAGTCATCTTCATTAAATGGTTGACAACAGTATTAAAATATTAACAAGTCATGCGGATTATTCTTGCATAGCAGTTAACAAATAGCAATAGTCCGAGTAAATAGTTAAGTAAGCTGGAGGATAAATTACATTGACAAACATACATTCCAATTCAACATAAAATACCAATTTCTATAAAATAATAATTATTTACTTGATTCCTTGTTAGCGTCATTTGGTTGGGAAGCATTTTCATCGTAAGAGAAGCTAACGGCTCCATAGTCATTGCGCGATCGTTCACCTTCACGTTTCCGAGCTTCTTCTATAAAACAAAAAACAGAACGAATGATATATATGGGAATGGAAAACGTGAGTGTAGGAGTTTGTTTTAAAAAATGACTTATGTTTAATTACATTGAAAGTATGCTTATTCCCATAACCTCATCAGGCTCGAATTGCATGTCCCACTCCAAAAAACAACCTGCAAGATATAAACAGACGTAAAAGGTGTTAATCTCTGGAGCATAAAATGTGCAGTGGATGCACTAATCAACATAAAAACCCAAACAACGTTAATTTAGTGACAATCACAGCAAATATCAAGTTAAAAGTACTGTATTCTGTTGATAAACATAACTTACCACGTAAGACGAAGTTGTCAACATACGTTTACCAAAGATGTGTTGACTCAAAAGCTAAGATCACATTAACAATCAGCAAAGGTGGTATTGCAGAATACATCAAAACACAAATACAAAAGTAAACTCACCATCTTGAATTGCGAGTTCATGGACGTCCACTTGCATTTCCAAATAACGTTCAAAATCACACATCTTTTCTATTGCAATCTCTTCTTCAGACAAGTGATCGTCAGGACTTAAATCGCAATTAGGATCTTCCTCATAAACATCAGTGAGATACCCACGTCCATCGAACCTGAAGGTAGCGAAATAAGTCAGTTGGTCACAAAATTGAGATAAAGGGTAATAATTTGAGGAATTAGATAACTGTAGTACTGAAGACTTTATATAAATTTTGGGCTACTTAGTGATAACATTGTTAATACGTTTGTCATCTCATCAGGTAAAATAGATAAAACGATAGATAAATTAAACACTAGGCTGATTTGAAACTAAAGAACATTGAAAGAGATCACTATACATACATGACACGTGGACATCGGTTGCATGAAGTTGACAACCATATAAGCTAACCCAAATTAACACGGAAGTTGCTCAATCATTCACTATATCTCACATAAACAATGACTAGAAGACACTCCCCGGGTATTTTGATATATACATCCTCAGAGTCAATTTGAGAACCTTTAATACTAGTGAATAAGTGAAGTAAGCAAACTGATACAAATTAATACTTGTGATCGACTTGGCAGACAATATGAAAAACTAATCATTCGATGAAACTAAGAGACTGACGGCAAGTTTATATAATAAAGCTTAAGTGAGTTATTATGCGAGGGGGATACATCACTTAGCTGTTTAAGCCGAAATTGAGTAGAATTATAGCGTAGGTGGTTAGGGGATCAAAATAAAAATGTAAACCAAGATTTCACTAACCAAGGCTTTATAGAAAGACCGTTCATCGCTACAAACACTGACACCTTGAGGCTGTCTTAAGTTTGAGTATTAAAAGATATGAATTTCAACGATAATTCAGTAAATAAATGTTTTGTTGGAAGACTGATTACGTATGTTTTACTTTCAATTGCTATATTTATATTTGCTAAGATTTTTGCAGCGATTCAAGCTAAACACCCATATAATCATGTCTACGAGTTAATTAGTGCGAGGTTAAAGAATTTTCAGTCAGCTATATAAGACAAGTAGTGTAATTTGTGAAAATATGAATTATCATAAAGCCTGAAAGCCAAGTATACATTAAGATATATATGCATATGTTACGTGACAAACTTCCTTAAAATTAAAGACTAAGTAATGCCAAAACTCTGAAATTATCACAAGGATAGAGCAATCTTTTAATATAATAGATAATCAACACACTAAAATATCTATAATACCATCTAAATTTAGTATTTCGATACTAAAACTAAAGTTGAACATTTTTACTGAGATGAATAATAATATGAACAGAGTATAAAATCCAATGGCAAATGATTAAAGAGCATCGTTACATTTAAAACGACATATTATGGGACTCCTCAGCAGTGCGCATCCACGATCCCGCTCGCGGGATTCAAACCCAGGGCGAGCGGGATTGTGGATGCGCACTGCTGAGGAGTCCCACAATGGAACGAAACGGCCATCCAGTGCTTCCAGGTTTTCAATGGTGGTCTAACATCAATCGGCTCATGATCTCAACCAAAAACCTAATAATCTCCACGACCCCTATACTGATAAAACGACATAAGTGGACTGTTTGCACAAGAATGTATGTCTGTAAAAGTTGAGCAACGAGATTTCTGAATGTAAGCATGATTGTACTACCTGATAAGTGAACTGACACCCCAATAGCTTGACTGACAACAGAATTCTAACTACAGTCTTATTTATTCTATTTATCTATTTTAACACATAGGTATTGGTACAAGGAGGCACCAAATACATATGCGCCACACAAATCTCAATTGATTTGTGTGAGGGCTGTGATACTGCCCGGGTGCCCAAACCGAAGCAGGTGGTTTTCTTAGGAGGCCACACCCCGAGCCTTCGACCTGAACGTCTGACCCACAAGGCAGTGGGTCATAAGCAACGTGAAGCATGGGACAAACGTGTCCAAGCATAGTTTGAAGCACCAAGATAATACTAAAGCGGTGAAAACCAGTGAAGTAGTAGCAAAAGTACCACTGACAATCTGCACTACTGCTGAAAATCTCGCTCTTTATAGCCTTACATCCCGTCACTGATTACGGTCTTTGAGCGGGCTCTAATCAGGTCATCTGAATCTAATGAAATAATTCAACCCAACAGTCAATAATTCCAAGGAGTGATATCGCATCTTTGTCTGACCACCACTAGCTTTTTCCCATCTTATACGCCAGTCAGCGTTTCACGTTGGAGTAGGATGTGAGTGAATGTACGCAATGGGTGTCCTAGTTGATGAAGAGCCACCTTTGCTAAACGACTCACTGAATGTCTACTATTTTAAATCTAACCTTAGTATCGTTCACTTTGTCGTCCTACAATACGTGGGCGATGCTTTGAAGACACCTATGACCAAATACCAGTAACCTACAATTGCCCTCTACTTTTCGAGGCCAAGCTTCCCAACCATGAACTAAAATAATGAAATACTGAGAATTACATTTTTCTCTTGGTTGGGAGATGAATATCTCGCCTGTACAACTGGGGGTGCAAGTTGACGAAGGATTTCAAACAAGCTAAGACCGAGCCGAACATTGGTATGCTGCTTCCCAATCGAAAGTCCACAATAAACCTCGACCGTGATAGTTCTTCGCTTTCAGCAACACTTACTTATACATTAGAGCCATGCTTCTGTTTAATAAATTCTTCTTAGTAGAGAGATCATGATATTGGACAAAACATGTAGGGTGAAAAACAATGTTTCCAAGATTATCGTCTCATCTCAGATGTCGTCATCCATTCTTTTTGTAAGCGAAGCCTGGCGTGGTTTGGGTGTTACTAAATAAAAAAACACGCTTTAGGACTACTCAGACGAGCACAGACTGATGGCAAGAACGAGAGTTACAGCAGCTAAAGTGTGAAGAAGACTTATGTTATTTTTCAGTAATCTTGCATATTTTACAAAAGAGCTGACCACCTCTTAAGTACATTAGTAAAGCCCATAGAGAACTGTATACAAGCAGCTGGTCCATGTCTGATTAAAGATACTAACTTCCTTGGGCCTGTTCAGCGAGTGTGAACAAAATGTGAAGAGATTTTCTAAACTCCCTTACGATTCGTGCTTAAAATTCCCACACTTTATCCCCTTGTCGTACCGTAGGACACGAGGTGAGCTTATATTCGCACTTCGTATGCTTAATTACGATTTGGATGTTAATGTCTTATCTTTTTGCTCTCTCCAGCACTAATAATCTCCGGGGTCATGGCAAGAAGGTTCACAAACTGCGATCTAGAGAAATTGAATTGGGGTTCCTTCGAGTGAGCAATAACTGGAACGCTTTGTCCGAACAAGTAGTATCAGCCCCATCAGCGTACATCTTCAAGGAGAAGCCAGACTTTCAATGGAAGGCAAACTGTCAGGATTAACACAGGTCCATCAACCTACTGTCCTTATTACTGCAGACAGAAACGGCTTGGTAAAAGTTATTTCTGTAAGTATATGTGCATTTAACTCAATTTTAAAAAAAGTAAGAATGAAGGCGAGAATATAATCCATGGACGAACCAATCAAATTTACGATAACAGGTCTTAGATTTTGGTGCGAAACCCACTCATCCATTCGGCTAAATAGTCTTGGCATTATAGCTGTCAGTTCGTGATGAAAATCCAATATCTGATTCCTAATACTAACCATCAACTGTAAATATTAGTTTACAGCCCTTATTTAGTCGTAGTGTGTAGGTGGACATTTTCAAGGCCTCTTTAGCGTCGCTCAAAGGTCGTCCATAAATTATAGTCTCACCAGAATGAGTTATAAACCACGTGCTTATCATTCACTCCTAAGACTTCGGCTGTCTAGTCGTATTTTGTAATCCTACCCAAGCAACCTCATGAGGGTGTTACAAGTTCTACGTAATAACCTCTCACATATACTCCAGATAAACTCTATTCCGAAACACAATCACCTTCCAAAATTTAGCTAGGCAATTGCCTTGGTATGTCTCATATTAAATATGAGCAACTTGTTGAGGTCATGCTCGCCTACTACCGATTGATCTGCAGAATATTCAGGACAACGTAAAAGAAACTGACATGAAACCTTTCACATCAAAATAAGAGGGAAACGTTACCTTACCACCTGAAAAATAAGTCAGGATGCACAACTACATAATTATTTGCAAATTATACGGATAATTTTATGAATAACAGAGCCTGACCTATCAATCAAAATTGATTTGTCACCACACCATGGTATTAGTAGTTTTTCCCCATCAACTTCAAGAGCTTTTTCCCGATCATCAAACAATGTACAGCTTGTACCTTCTACCACAAACTGTTTCTCTTCGCTATAATCATTCATCATAATTGGAGGTCAAGTTTCGCGCCACAGTCTCTCCATACAAGGTAAAAATAAGTAAAATGGTTTCAAATGATTTTAGACAGAATAGATGGAGCTTCTGCTTAACGGGCTTCCGTATCCAGTAGCAGTGGATCACCGATGCTGCCAGGTAGGGACCTAAATATTTTTAACGATAAGAGAGAAAAGAATATCAGTAAATTATTGTGAGATACTGTCCTTAGACTTTAAGAATACGTCAGGTTTTCTCTGAAAGCACCCCTGATGGGTTTCTTGAGCTGGAGAAGCAGTCAGTGAATTCCAGAATTCGACCACTCTTAAGTAGTAGAAGGTGTGCCTACAGTCCTCTCTGATGTTATCTCTAATTTCATGGTGTCATCTCTAAGGTTTGTGTTGGGAGTGAGCGTAAGTAGATGTTTAGAGGATGCTGTTAGTTGCCAAAAAGTCTCCTCAGGGACTAATATGCTTTAATGGGTAAAGGTTTAGTGATTTGAGATGCTCTTCATAATGACTGAATTTGAATTCGTAGCTATCCGTTGATTACATTTCAATATGTCCTTGTCCTCTTGAGGTAATGGAGGAAACGTTGTGCTTTTACACCTCAAACAGGGTCGAATAAAACGGCTGAAGGTTAAGTAAAAAGTCCTGTTGTCGAACGGGCCATAAATGCTCTTTAGTGTTACCAGTGCTAGGTTTACCCGAAAGGCATTCCTGTCACAGTTAACGTAAGACTTTGTGAGTTATTAGAATGGACCGGCGTTATCCCACTTGCATTACTCAGAACTCTCAACGCAATGAAGGGTGACGTTGGACGCAACACAGTAAAACTAATTTGGAGGAAATTCGGAACTCCGCCTGTAGCTCTTCCAGAGTTATTGCCGGTCCCAAGCCCGGGCAAAGGAGGAGGGTTGGGCATGGGGTTAGCGTCCCCATCCCGTAGAAACCTAACTCGCTAAAAAAACGCTAACCAGAAAAAATAACTCAAACCATTTAAATTCTGCTCTGGGAGTTAGAGGTAATATGACGCTTCATGGTGAAAGCCGAGTTCCTTCGGAAGCCACGAGGCCGATGCCCCTCCTAACAACCAGAGCAACAATTTTTATAGGTACATGGAACGTCCGGACAATGTGGGAGACCGGGAAGGCCAGTCAAATAGCAACGGAAATGAGGAGATACAATTTGGCAGTACTGGGAATCAGTGAAACCCATTGGACCCAAGCTGGACAAGAAAGGCTAAATACGGGAGAGATGCTGCTATACTCCGGTCACGAAGAGGAAAATGCTCCACACACTCAGGGAGTTGCTCTAATGCTATCCAAAGTAGCACGAAATGCATTTGTAGGATGGGAATCTCACGGATCCAGAATCATCAAAGCATCATTCAAAACAAAGAAGGAGGGGATCACAATGAACATTATCCAATGTTATGCACCCACCAATGATAGCAACGACGACGTTAAAGATCAATTCTATGAAAGGCTGCAATCAATCGTAGAGAAGTGCCCAAGAAAGGACCTCACCATTCTGATCGGAGATCTAAACGCCAAAGTCGGAATGGACAACACCGGATATGAAGACATCATGGGACTGCATGGACTGGGAGAGAGAAACGAAAACGGGGAAAGATTTGCAAATCTGTGTGCATTCAATAAATTGGTCATAGGCGGTACAACATTTCCATACAAACGTATACACAAAGCTACATGGATCTCACCGGACCACACCACAGAGAACCAGATAGATCACATTTGCATCAATAAAAAGTTCCGAAGGACAATGGAAGATGTGAAAACCAGGAGAGGAGCGGACATAGCTTCAGATCATCACCTAGTTGTGGCCAAACTGAAACTGAAGCTAAAGAAGAACTGGACAACTGGACAAACAACATCACAAAGGTTCAATACAGCCTTCCTTCGACATACTGACAAACTCAATGAATTCAAGGTAGCTCTCAACAACAGGTTCCAAGCCTTACAGGATCTACTGAAGGAAGAAGAAACTACTATGGAGGATAGCTGGAAAGGTATCAAAGAAACATTAACTTCAACGTGTCAAGAGGTTCTGGGCCCCAAGAAGCGTCATCACAAGGAATGGATCTCTACAGAAACATTGGACAGGATCAAAGAAAGAAAGAACAAGAAGACAGCAATTAACAACAGCCGAACAAGAGCAGAGAAAGTCCAAGCACAAGCTGAGTACATAGAAGCAAACAAGAAAGTGAAGAAGAGCATTAGAGCTGATAAGCAAAAATACGTGGAAGAACTAGCAACGACGGCGGAAAAAGCTGCAAGAGAAGGAAATATGAGACAGCTTTACGATACGACGAAGAAGCTTGCAGGGAAATACAGTAAACCAGAGAGACCAGTCATAGACAAAGAAGGAAAACCAATTACTGAGATTCAACAACAGCGCAACAAATGGGCAGAGTACTCCGAGGAACTCCTGAACAGGCCGGCTCCAATGAATCCACCGGACATCGAAGCAGCACACACAGATCTTCCTATAAATGTCAATCCACCAACGACAGAAGAAATCAGAATGGCCGTCAGACAAATCAAGAGCGGGAAAGCAGCAGGACCTGACAATATACCAGCTGAAGCGTTGAAGTCAGACATCGAAGTAACTACAAGCATGCTTCATCTTCTATTCAAGAAGATTTGGGAGGAGGAACAAGTGCCGATGGATTGGAAAGAAGGACACCTCATCAAGATTCCAAAGAAAGGAGATCTGAGCAAGTGTGGAAACTACAGAGGCATTACACTACTGTCAATACCGGGTAAAGTCTTCAACAGAGTGTTACTTAACAGGATGAAAGACGCAGTTGACGCTCAACTTCGAGATCAACAAGCTGGATTCCGTAAGGGCCGGTCGTGCACAGACCAGATTGCGACATTACGGATCATCGTCGAGCAATCAATTGAGTGGAACTCGTCACTCTACATCAACTTCATTGATTATGAGAAGGCATTTGACAGTGTAGATAGGAGGACGTTATGGAAACTTCTTCGACACTACGGAGTTCCTGAGAAGATTGTCAACATTATCCGGAACTCATACGACGGACTACAGTGCAAAGTAGTGCATGGAGGACAGCTGACAGACGCATTCCAAGTAAGGACCGGAGTAAGACAAGGCTGTCTACTCTCTCCCTTCCTGTTTCTTCTGGTGGTCGACTGGATTATGAAGACCTCGACATCTGAGAGAAACTACGGCATACGATGGACAGCTCAGAACCAATTAGACGACTTGGACTTCGCAGATGACCTAGCCCTCCTATCACATACACTCGAACAAATGCAGATAAAGACAGCCAGCATAGCAGCAGTCTCTGCATCAGTAGGCCTCAACATACACAAAGGGAAAACCAAGGTCCTCAAACACAACACGGAGAATAGCAATCCAATCACTCTTGATGGCGAAACTCTGGAAGACGTGGAATCCTTCACATACCTGGGAAGCATCGTCGATAAACAAGGAGGTTCAGATGCAGACGTACAGGCGAGGATTGGCAAAGCTAGAGCGGCATTCCTTCAACTGAAGAACATATGGAACTCAAAACAACTTTCAACCAATATCAAAGTCAGAATCTTCAATACGAACGTCAAGGCAGTTCTACTGTACGAAGCTGAAACTTGGAGAACTACAACAACCACCATCAAGAAGGTACAGGTATTTATTAATAGCTGTCTACGCATGATACTCAACATCCATTGGCCGGATACCATCAGCAACAGCCTTTTGTGGGAGAGAACCAACCAGCTTCCAGCTGAAGAGGAAATTAGGAAAAGACGATGGGAGTGGATAGGACATACATTGAGGAAATCATCAAACTGCATTACGAGACAAGCGCTAACTTGGAATCGTGAAGGGAAGCGGAAAAGAGGAAGGCCAAAGAACACATTACGTCGGGAAATAGAAGCAGATATGAAAAAGATGAATAAGAACTGGAAATAGCTTGAAAGGATTGCCCAGGACAGGGTTGGATGGAGAATGCTGGTGAGCGGCCTATGCTCCTTCACGAGGAGTAACAGGCGTAAGTAAGTAAGTAAGGAGGAAATTCGGACGTCCTTCATCTTTTTCAATGAGTGCGGATCTAAACTCCTACATAAACCGGCTTACAAACATCATGCGTTCAGTTACACCTGCTCCTAATGGAACGCAAACAACTAATATCCTGTGCAACGCAGACTAATCGTGTCAATAAAACCGAAAAATTGATTTCATAAAATATCCTCATACTCATTTCCATAAGAAATGAAAAGCAAAAATCAGGATATTTTAACATACTTTTATTTAAATACTTATTTCTTCCGAAAAAAACACAATAAAAATCATACATCCAGGGTGCAAATTTCGCTCATTGTTCAGTGGTATGCATGTAACTATTCAGGGCCAGTGAGGTGCTGTGAGCTGTATCTGAACTTTACGGTGAGCACGTCACTGAACCTAGCCATGTCAAGTTAAACGACAGACAACGCTCGTCAATCAGTTGTTCGTCGTAGACCGGTGCACACAACAGTGATTCCACTTAAAACTCGTGCAACTTGTTCTCACTGATATGTCATGTTGTTTATTGAGAACAATTACTCTGGCCAATCATTTTTTATCACGACTGGGTAGATCAACTTAGGTTTGTGACGTAGAGGTAAGCTAAGAGTACAGGCTATTCTCGTCTAACTCCAGTAGACGTTGATCATCAACATAGACAGGTAGTTACTTTGGTGATTTATATATTTCATAGTTTACATTCTGACATAAGCACAGTGCATTTGACATGCACTCAAGCTTTCATTTCCGTCTTTTCCATGATTATTGTTCACAAAACATGTTTCTTACGTCGCTGCCGGATACAGTGCTGAGGCAAAAGATAAGCAGAGGGCTGTAACCACATGTCTTTCCACATATTGTTAATACAAATGCAAATCAGGTAAAGCAACTCCTAAAGGGAGTTGTTAGATGTTTACCTAACAGTCACTTAACAGGTAGAAACTTGATAATATTTGCCCCTAAATAAAGCCTCGATACATGGTCCCGATAAATATGATACAATTGAAGTTCGTCAACTCTGATTTATATCACAATTTACGTCTAATATTCAGTACACAGAAAAGAGAGAAATGTCGTCAAAGTATTATCAAGGTTTCATAATAACCCTATTACAAGTAATATGTTGACTATACAGAAATTTTGAGGTTCTTAATGCTATCTACGGTCTAAAATGGCAAAGCATCAGCTGTAACACCATCCGACTCTCATGGTATGATTTGCTTCATTTTTGACAAGTTTCGTGGTAGATCTCATTCACAAATAAGAGCTACCTTGAAGCTCATCATAGAGTCATTTATCTAGCCAAATACGAATTGAAATGTGATAATATGAGTGAGACCATGTAACCAAAAGTTCAATGACATACAGAGTTGTCCGTGGTTAAAATTTCTTCAAGTGATTCTAGGTTTGAACATTTATACTCTTATATGGTTGCTTTCTTACCACCTAATACTTTTACTCACACACTAACGTGTACTGATCAATTCACTAAGTTGCCGATAGCCATTCCTTTAAAAGATGTTAATGTATCAACGATGATAGGGAAATCTATGAAACATTGGATCTCTAATTTTAGAGTACTATAACAATTACTAAGATAGAAATTCACAATTTCATCGTCATCCCTTTTAGTAACTAACAGCGTTGCTATACATCGAGTGAGTACGAAGTGCTACTTAATAGCCTGATGCAAATAAGAAAATGATTTGAGTGACAACTGAAAGTCTTCATGATTGCCAGTGGTATATATTACAAATGGGACTCCAAGTTCCATCTAGTACTATTGAACACTAGCACAACCCTCAAACCAGCCGTCAGTTATTGTCCTGCGGAGTTGGTAAGTGAAACGATAATCTGTTCATCAGGTGGATTCTGTGACGGAGTAAAAGCCGTTCGAGCAAACATAACCAACCACACAGAGAGGTTAGCGCAACAAATGGTGACCAAAGCGATTCGCGATATGTTGCCATGCTAATATTGAGCCGATGCTCGAGAAAATCCGGACGCACAATTTATGGGAGACTGAAAAACTACTAAAGACACGGAATTTATAGAATGGGTCGTTGCAAAAATACCCTGAAGTATTAAACTATCCACAAAGTACTGTTGTAAATTTTGACTTCTTCTTACTGACGCCAATATACTTGCGGCTCGGCATAAAAGCTAGCTTAAAACGTTTCCGTGGACTTTTACTTGTTATCGTGGCACATGTTGAAATCGTTAAAAATAGGCACTGGAGTTAGTGAGCGCACGCAAACTTTGTTTTTAAAACAAACTCTTAGTTGAAGGTTTGTATGATAAATTACAAATCACTGATTCGCAGGATCACAGTTCTGTCAAAACGATGTTTGATTGACGATTGCGAACCAGAATACTGGTTTTGTGCAGAACAGTTTTGCCGTTAAAGATTTCCAACGTCTTTTGATAGATATGCCTCATTGTCAGCGACATTATTTTACCCGTTTCTCTAATGTACAGTATGATGGCGAAACCAACGGATTATAGTCTTTGACGAAGACGGATTTTCTCGTTCGATACCGTAGTTTCTACTCTAGGATCTAATATTAAAACGGTTAGCTTCACATCTCACTGCCTCAACTTACAGTCAAAATTCGAAAGCCTGATATCACCTTATATATGTATGCCATATTATAGAATCTGTACATTCGAAACTTAGTAATTAGCCACCTATTTCGCAGAACTTTTATCATTAAGTCGAGAAAACAAAGCTGTACCATGTCCGTTTAATACATCTGTATTTAACACCATATGTTCCCTAATATCGACGTTCAATCCTAAACATATTGTTCCATCATAAAGTAGGTCACTTCCCAATCTATGTAAAGGAATTCTGTTGAATCGTTTTAAATTTATATCGTCTGAAACCTCAGTACACCAACACAACTGTATATACTGGGTTTGCTTAACAGACGTTAACCAGGATATTGCATACAGTTTATCTTGATAACCGTTACTAGATAACGCCCCAACTGTGTATTAATCAGAAGATGAATACGAAGTATTGATTAAGGGACTACACACATATCCAATTTACAGATTGTTTAGACAAGCATGAAAGAGTAGTACCAAAAAGCTAGCAGACAAGCGAGAGAGCGAGTCAGCGAATACGAGTACGAGGAAGCGAGTGCAATTAAATGAATAATATATATATATATTGAGATGAGTGACTCATCGAATCAATTAAGCATCCGATTTTCCAACTTTTTCTACTGTAATAGTTTTAACCTTTCTTCTGATCACGTAAAATGTACCGTCTTGAGCCGGTGGTAAGAGACGCTGCACGCCATCCCTTCTGATAAACACATGAGTACTTTCGGTCAGTTGTTTAAGTATGTACACCCGGTGTTGATGTTACCTCGGAAGCCTTACTTTTAGATTACTCATATGCCGTTTTAAACGTTGTACATATTTGGCTTTATCAAGTGGAACACTTGGTGAGGTGAAAAACTCTTCTGGTTGACGTAGAGTGGTTCCATAAACCAATTCTGCTGGACAACATCCTATATCTTGTTTGATTGATCTTAAACTCAACATGACTAATAGGAACTTGCTGGCCCAATTACTATTGCTAATAACAGCTGTAAGAGGGGCTTCAAGTTGCCAATACAATCTCTCTACAACACCGTTCGACATCGGATGGTGGGATGTTGTGCGATTACGTTGGATTCCGTGGGGCTCTGTGGATGTGTCGAACTACTCTCAGGAGTAGTTAACGCCGTATTACTACTGAATAAATGGAGAGAACATTACGTCAGTCATGAAAGAATGAAATATGCAAACTTACATACTGCTAGCTATAGTTCGACGACCGGAGGGTGTAACACGCGGTATTTTCAGCCTTAGGGCAGACTAAAACATACCATGCACATCTTTACACACAGTTCGGCGTTTTCTGAAGTATTGAGGTCTCTTCAAGGTACACAGACTACAGTCTGAGGCTAGCTTCAATCTCGTGCCTACCTTTGCTTTATCCAACATTTAAACTTAGTTCGTCTACATATTTGACGTTGACCCCTAGTTCTACTCATCATTAGTTGTCCATATGTTCCATAGATTCACAAAACCTTAATAATAAAGGCTCATGATGTGTGTGAGTGAAGGCGTCATGTCGTTTTTGACTCCGAAGTCATTTGAAGAAATTATCAGACAAATCTTGGACACTGAAAGAATAACTGTGGCCTTGGTCTCGGCCAGATTGTACAGTATCGAGTCAGTAGCCGTTCGGTTGTCTTAAATAGTGACTCAAATACGAGCTTACTTACAAGGTTAGAGGGAAAATGCTAATTTTTTCTCACAATTTTACGTAAATGTTTGTACATGTACTGTAAATTTTCTGCAGTATCCCGTCGGTTTCAGTAAGATATTTCCCTAAACTAGCTACTCTGATTAAAGAGGCCATTTCACTGGTGTTTAGTCACAATATGGTCTGGTTACCGAATTTATAATATTCGTACAACAAATGTGAATGAATAATATTACCAAGGGATAGATCCATCGTAATTAACTTACTCAGTTGGCATAAAGGTCTTGGCAATTGGGTTTTGAGGTCACAGTTGGGGTTTCGAGTTCGTATTAGGATTTACGATTAGTTATTACATATATCCCTATCATAGGCTGTGAATTCTAATTTGTTTATAGTCTTTGCCGTAACCATAACCCCAAAATACATTGTTTTTCAATCAGCCATTTGAAGTTAGACAACAAGAGTTGAATATTCGGTTGGGGAAGGTTTGCGCTGCGGGTATTTCATCTTTTCTTGGCTTTCGAACTCGCCTAGTTTGTCCTCCAAGTTGTTGCAGTTCATAGTCAACATCCTTGTTTGATATGTGCCCCATGACCTTGAGGTTTCTTTCTTGATCCTAATTAACTCATCTTTATGTTGCACTGTTATACTATAATGATGACTGAGCTTTCATATAACTATTTTGGTTTGTTAGATCCATTCCTTTGTGTCGTGATGCATGAAAATCCACATGTACCCTTGCCCATATCAGGTTCGAATCCAAGTTAAAAAATAGGTCTTTAGATTTCTGAAAGGCTGGTAAGCAATTTCATGCGTTTTAAAGATTTTGTCCCTGCCCATATAACCAAATATAGTCGATTGAGTATAAATTTAGTTGCTTTAAATTTGTAGTTGTTAAATTTTTAAAAAATCCATGTCTTATCTATTCTTCATGTTGTGATATTTTTCAGGAGCCTATAGTCTCTTTTACTCCAAATTTCCAAAGTGTATTCAAATAATCTTTGAATTCCTGTACTTGCTTGTGCAGAGTACTAATCTAATGTATAATGTTATCTTCTAACCTGATCACGTGCTCAAGAGGTACTTTCTTTATACCTGTTCGGTTTTACTTGATGAGAAAGAGTTATGTGCCACCGGTACTTGAGCCGGGTGTCTATCCACATCCGAAACGTCAAGTACCTGAATGTGGTCGGAAAACATTCAAAGAAAGAATCAAAGGTGAGGTACTTAAGCTACGTAAAACAGGTTTGTGACAATTCACCGATTTCGTTTGTATACAGTATCGTTTTGTTTGAGCAATTAGATAACGGCAAAATACCAAAACTTGTTGTAATACAACATTGTTTCATGTATTATACCTGTAATTCGATGTTGTTCTATTAGTTATCAAGGGAGATCAGAAAATGTGCTTCATAATTATTGTATCCTTGTGGATTAGTTTGTTTATTTATTTGGACATGTAAATATTGGTACAAAGGGGCACCGAATACATATACGCCACACAAGTCACTTGATTTTTGTGTGGGCTGTAATACTGCCCGGGTGCCCAGACCAAAACAGGTGGTTTCCTTAGGAGGCCGCACCCGGAGCTTTTGACCTAAAGGTTTGTTCCACAAAGCAATGGAGCAACCTTATTAGATGCAGTCCCATGGTAGCCGGTGACCAATAATTAGTTCATACGCCATTTGTTCCTTCAGGATCCTGGAGCCCATGTGCACCATGTTTCACAACTCTCTTAGGTAAATGTTCCATATCCATCTACCCGGTTAGAGCGCTGGACATTCGCTTCTCTTCCTCTCAATTTCGCAAACAACACCCCGGTCACGAGAGGGCAGTGAGTAGGACTTCCTTGGCAGTGACTACACGTGTGGCTATGTGTGAGCATTTCGAGAGGGAGAACTGACTCACCACCCTTGGCCGTACCAGGGCATTTGGGGGCTGATTAGTTTCAGCCTTAAAAGCAAAACTTGATTGTCACTGCTTAAATAGGACTAGTTTGTTATTATTTAAGCAGTGACAGTCGAGTTTTGCTTTTAAGACTATCTAACACTTCGTATTTCATTTAAGAACCCACTGCCTTGTGGGTCAGACGTTCAGGTCAAAGGCTCGGGGTGTGGCCCCCTAAGACAACCACCTGCTTCGGTTTGGGCACCCGAGCAGTATCACAGCCCTCACACAAATCAACTGAGATTTGTGTGGCGCATATGTATTTTGGTGCCTCCCTGTACCTATACTTATGTGTTAAAATAAATAAATAAATAAAATAAGAACCCTAAGATATTCAATCAAACTGGGCTTCTCAAACCAAAGATGAACTACATGTCCTTTTTGGGTCTGAAAATTATTTCTCACAGAACCTTTGTAATGATCAAATTTCTAGAAATACGCTAATTTACTCCTGGTAAATTTGCTACCGTAGAGAATTGTCGCGTACTGATCAGTATGGCTTGATTTAAATTGTTGGTTCGTGACAATTTAAATTGGTATCTAGTGTTTGAATGTCGGTTGCTCATAATAATTAGCTTAATTACCAAATCCTCAAAACAAATTGACATCAAAAAAATGAAAGGACTATCATACTAAAAATTGTTTTTACTTAGTAAAGTAACACACCTGTGCACGAAGTATAAGACAAAATAAGCACTAGAATTTACGTTTTATCACCTTTTGAACAAATTGTCACAACGAAACCGTAGTTTGATGTAGACACTCCTAGGTGACATAAACTATTAAAATAAACAGCAGTTTGCTCTGTGACTGGAATAATACGTGTGGAAATAAGACACGTGTGGGTTGAGAGAATTTTGTCATAAATATTTCGGAGCTAAACTTGCAGAAGTTTTCTTGTTGGACTTTTTCAGTATTTGATAACGTGCAGACAAACACGCTGACAGGCCGAATGATAATTCCAGTTTGGACATTTTTTTAGGAGTGGGAGCTCCTTTCAACTCTTTTCAGCTGACTGATAACGATAAATGTAAGCTGTAGATATGTGACCATAGATAATTTGGCTTGTGGTTGCTAACTCATTAGTCCTACAGTTAGGTTTAGGTTATGCAATAAAAACGATATCGATTTATGAGTCTGTGAATCTTCATCTATTCAGGTGTTTAACAGATATGTTACTCATGCCAAACCACAGCAACGTGCAACCCTAGCTGGCGTACAAGTAGTTTGCGAAACAGTAGGAACGTACAGATTAATACGCCCCCAAATGCCCTGGTACGGCCGAGAGTGGGGAGAGTCCGCTCTCCCTCTCGAAATGCTCTCACATGGCCATGCGTATATAGCCTCTGCCAGGGAAGTCCTACTCACTGCCTTCTCGTGGCGGGGGTGTTGTCTACAAAAATGAGAGGACGAAAAGCGAATTTCCGGCGCTTTAACCGGACCCCAAACCAATGGTGCACATGGGCTCCAGTATTCTGCGGGAACAAATGGCGTATGAACCAATCGTTGGTCACCGGCTACCATGGGACTGCATCTCCTCACGATGCTCCACTGCCTTGTGGGTCAGACGTTCAGGTCAAAGGCTCGGGGTGTGGCCCCCTAAGAAAACCACCTGCTTCGGTTTGGGCACCCGAGCAGTATCACAGCCCTCACACAAATCAATTGAGATTTGTGTGGCGCATATGTATTTGGTGCCTCCCTGTACCTATACTTATGTGTTAAAATAAATAAATAAATAAATAAATAACAGATTAATACATGACAGTGGTACAGTTGTGTTCATTCTGTATCTTCCTCTGAATCTTGAACTATATCATTCCATAATTTTAGTCCTTATGTTTTGCTATGCTTCGCTTGTAGTCAGGAGTGAAAACCAAGTTTATTTCAAAATCCCACTCTGTATAACCACTGAACAAGAAATTAACAAAATGGGGAAATACTGAGATGAAAAAACATAAATTGCAGGTTGATGTTACTTGTTAGGTATTAGCTGAGAAGTCATAGATTTCACTTATTTGTGAATATCCCACAATCCGACCAGTAATTAGTCAGAGAAAAGCAAGAGATCACACTGTAGGAATTCTTAATTGTTGCTTAGTGATCTATAGGTCCTGTCGCAAAGTACTAGCTCATCTGGTTTAAGTCGGTTTAATTTGCTTGGTTTACTTGGATGTTCTCTTTAGTTTACATGCGATAAACGTGCTTTAAAACATAGAAGACGGTTCTCCGTATAGTTACTAATTTAGCCGTTAAAAACTGAAATTTCCCCAGAATAATGTTTACTCATACTTTTTTCTTTATGATATTTAGAATTAGCTGTGAAACCAAACGATTTTTCATCGTTGGAACCCCTTGACATTGGATTACCGTATGTTTCCCCTAAAGAATCAACAGCATTTTTGAAGAGACTGGATCTGGAACCTCAAGCCCGTAAAAGAACACTACGAGTCCCGCTTGACGTAATTCACTCACCGAGTGAAGATACTGAAGCCCCAGTTCGTCGTCTAAATATTGCACAACATTATGGCATCTTCAATTCACTTTTTGGACCGCCTCATATCTTCGTTCCTGTTGTTAATTTCGGAGTTGAGTATTTAAAACCAGATGATGAGCCTGGTACTTCGGACGAAGGTAAATGTGATGATGACAAGTCAACTACATATGTACAACCTGTGTTTAGTGGAAATCTAATATCTGCCAATGTAGCTATGGTTAGTTAGTTACACTTTGCTGTACCCACTTTTAGTCTTATATTTCGTACTTTAACGTTTCATTTGGAGTTTTTATAATCCATAAGGTTAGGAGTCTATTTCCATATTTCAGTCGTTTGTAATTGCTGATTCTTATTTCTTATTCAGATTGATCATTGATAATATTCTAAAGATTAACGCAGGTATAAAATAATCGTTTTGTAAACAGACTTCATGAACTCAAATATTCTAATATTACTGTTTGGTCACATACAGACCAAACAAGTTGACGAAGAATTCCAAGCTAGCTTTCTGAATGTGCCTAACGTTTGTCAGCTACTAAACTAAGAGGCTTTAAAGATGAGTGAGAGGTGGTGAGCACGCTCAACTAATCTTCACTGAGTAGTCACCCTAGGTGATAGTCCAGACTAATTCTCAAGCTACATTGTACGTCTAGAGAGAGACATGTGCATCCTAAACATGCTTGAATCAACCCATTTCATTATTTGTGTCCCGGATACTGCACTATGTCAGTATCGTCACTAGAAAAACATACCATCTACTTACTTGATGTCTATTAGTAAGTTTTCAGCGAGGAAATCATTTCCTGGGCAGTTGGGTAAAGTATAATCTACAAAGGGAAATCTATGACGGAACTAAGTAAAAATGAGGTTGGTGTGAAACTTTAACACAAACCAATTGATGGATAGTGGCTAGTAGTGGAATCCAGGATGCGCTTTCCGTCCTGTTTGGGACTCGTAAGCTAGATGTATCTGCATCCGAGGGTTAATGTTCACTCCGCGATTCGAACCCAGTACCATTCACTTCAAACGCCATCGCATTATCCACTTAGCTACTGAGTCCTGATAACCACCTGCTTGTGCGATGGGGTGAAGTTTAAATTCACTTGGTGTTGTTTGCTTGTATCTTCCCATTGTTTTCTAGGACTGCAATTGATCAGTCTCTTGTTGGCATATGTGCATTCTGTGCGAATTGCGTCGTTATTGCCTGAAGTCACAAGCTTTTTGAGAAAATAGGACGAAACGCGTATCCTGGATTTAACTGTTAGCCACTATCCATCTTTGCTTAAAAAACGTGTGACTTCAGGCAATCCGCACAGAATGCACATATGCCAACAAGAGACTGATCAATTGCAGTCCTAAACAACAATGGGAAGATACAAACAAACAATACCAAGTGAATAGAAACCACTCGAGTTTGAAAATTATCCATAAGCTATAATCTGATCGATCACATTCTAACGATGAACATCCAGAAAATTTACGTATTTCAAAAAATTTTGTGGTGACAAACACTAGTATAAAACCTCTAGGTCAGCAGATTTGAATGTCGGTTTCAGGTAAAGAAATGCGATTATGATCGAGTGTCGATAACTATGGATGTGTTTCAAAACGTGGTGAATATTTGATCAATAGATCTGAATCTTGGTCCAGAGCCAACCTATTTTTTCCGAGTTTACTTCAGAGCTCTGTTCGGTAAGCTTTACTGTCGTTTTTAACGAACAAGCAATCTATCAAAGCCATGAGTATTAAGTTTCTAGCCTTCTTATAAACTATGAATCAAAGGCGGGTAAATAAAACATATACTGTGTCATTGAGTTATGTTCATCGCTACTATGAGTTTACAAATAAGAGATTCTGAATTTGCGACTGTTCAGCGAAGAAAATTTTCTTTTCAGTGGTATCTAGTATCAGAATAATTAAAATTGCTTTGTCCGTTAACAGACAAGTTTGTATGCCATCCATAGCTAGTTAGAACACTGCCTCATTAACCTAAGCATTTGACTCTCAGGAGTTAGGTCGTATTTTCTAATTTCTCTTCGTCTGCATCATTCCCAGTATTCAGATAATAAGCTTATTCAGTAATTTCGTCTAAAACATGATCTCGTTAATCCGTTCTTTGTTACTTAGTGACCTTAAGTTAATTGTGTAGTTTCCATGTGATATTCAAGAGAGGCTAAATACATGTTCATTTGAAAAAAATGAATGTTAGTTGTTTACTATTGTTTTCTTTAAAAATTGAATCCATTGTATGTGATTAAAATCAAATTGGGATACTTCATTTCAATGCATTTTAATATGTTGGCTACATTTCATCTAGTTTCTCTCAAAATTGAGGATAGTGGATTAGCATTTATTCTCAGGTCTTTTCTCTTGATAACTATGAAGGAAAAGTATATCCAAAATAGAATTGTTCTTCAAAACTTTTTTTGTAGAATCCTCCATTCATTAACTTGTCTACAGCACCAAATAATTTCTACTGGACTTTGTTGATGACATGTCCGGACGAACCCTTTGGCAGTGATGGTTGTGAACCATCTAATGAATATATTCACTGGATGATGTAAGCTACTTTATTTCTGATAACTCTTATTCGTTAAGATCTTTTTTACATTGACATTATTTAGTGGTTGTCATTGGTGAGATTGTATATTCACTCGATTGGTCTTTGTTAATAAATCAAAGCCAAAAAGCTGTTTGATAATGCTCCAACTTACCTCTACACTAGTGTCTTCTTGATTGTTTACAGGTTCTTTCTCATTCCATAGTCATAATTAGATTGAAGTGAGGTTGTGACGACTAAATACAAACGTTATACTGATGTATTTGTGCATTTTAGGATAATTAATCAGGTAATCCTGCAGGTTGCCTCATTTTAAACGTGTAGTACTCTACTAATGTATTGTTTAGATAGTCAGAATATACAGTTGGGTGTGGTGCCTTCCACCTTTGACATTAGATTCTTTCACTGTTCATTCAAGTAGACAAACCTTGTGGAAGTTAAAACAGATATGTATTGGCTCTATTTACCATACTTCAATTTCTGAACGAACTTCGTTGGTTTGCATTTGAGTTGGTGTTGTTTTCTGTCATGATGTCCCACAAAATAATTTTCCGAGCACCTTTTGGTTCAAAACAATCTATCGCAGTACACTTACGTTCTTGATTTTTCTATTGGTTATTATCAACAATATTCGTCTTTAAATTCTGTTCTCGAAGGTGTAATATTGGTTCCGGAATATATATTTAGTTAGCTAGTGATAATATCAATTCAGGGAGAAAAAAGGGGTTTTATTACTTTTAGTTACCAGTCTTCAGAAGAGACAAAATGTTCCACATTTGTAGCCATTCTCATGAGTTAGAATCATTTGTCAGTTTGAACACTTACCACTTGATTGTACGTACTCGTCAAATGTATTGTTGGTTTCATTCCTAAGTTTAGAAAAGTTGGCTAAAAATGTCTGACACCTGTATACACGTATCCTACGTAGTACCATTCTCAGTTAATATCTGATAACGTTAATCATATTTATCTATGAAAGTTGTGTAATATTTCATTATATTTACAAAAGTTATTCTCCATTGAATTGTGAAGACCACCTGTTAAACACAACTATATAGATATCATCTGAAGCTTCGTGTCTTTTTGTTGTTGTTGTGAATTTCCAATATGTAGGACAAACCTACAGTCCGTACCAGAAGGTGTTGGTGTTATTGGGGATGAGATTATTCCATATATGCCGCCTATACCGTACCAAGGAACTGGTTATCATCGGTATATATTTGTTCTTTATCGACAAGACCGTGGGAAAATTGACTTAAATCAGTGGAGAAAAGGAAATCCCAGTGGATGGTATGTTTAAAATATGACTCTCCTTTTGATATGCAAGCTGTTATAGTTATTATTAGCATTCATTTAATTATATGATTAATATTCGTGAAAATTAAATATCTTATGGTTTATTTTATTAAAATAGTGGGAAGGAAAAATTGTTATATAGTTTAACGGAAAGAAATTGAAATATCTCATGGAGTATAATTGGTATATTTTGGTAGATGTGAGGTAGGGAGAAAAGAATGATGAAGTATTTTCCGTACGACGAATAAGTAGTAAATATCAGTTCACAACCATTGTAAAATGTGGAAGACGAACTATTTAGGTCTGAAAAGTAGTTCAGGTGGCTAAAAATGTATCAGATTAGGCTGTTGAATGTAATCCGCTTCAACATAAAAAAGAGGTGACCAAGCGACCTCTGACTATTCGGTGCTCAGAATTGCTGCTAGGGAATTAAACATATAAGCAGAGAAGTTTACAGAATAAAAATGGGACGAAATCTGAACTCATAACAGTGTCAGGTTATTAAAGTACTCTCCTAAATGGTTTTTAACTTACTATGAATATGACCATTAGCCTGTTATTTTAAAGGTATGCCTTAGATTGACACTTATGTTTATCCACACATTTAACTTTTCGATTTGTGGATAGTTTTCATTACAAATTGAGATCAGACGACGTACCATTGGAAGCATGGAGGCTTTGGTTTAAAACCCTTTAGTAGTATACGGCTGTGACGTTACACAGGATCGAATTAAGGACCTTGGGTATTTTTGCAAGGAACGAGATATTACTAAGTCGAAATCTATTGTTTGATACTTATCGCCTCCATTCAATCCGCAATATTTTACAACCACTATCTAATTTCGTTAGTATTTTCCCATTATTTCTTTTGCCATACTACAAACAACACTCACAAACTGGCTAAATACACGAACATTCCGATTACTTGCGTAGACTAATATTGAGTGCAAGCAGAGACCATTGAAAATCTTGTAGAGGTACTTTGATTTCTGATCTTATCATATTATACTTACGAAGACTCACCAACAAACCAATAAAGTGCTATTTGAGCGAACTATATGCCTCTATATAGTAAGACGATATCCAGATACTCGAAGTTGAATAAATTGTAGTCTAATTCGTTGTTCTTTCTGGTGCTTATACCTAACTTTATAACAGATAACTTGACAGTGTCGGTTTTTCGAACAATTGAACTAATTGTATCGAATTTTTTGAAATTTTTCATTTTAACTGTCAGTGATGTTCAGTCTGAACGCGGCTTCAGCACTCTAGAATTTTATCGAAGTTTAGAAGATGAAATAACTCCTGCTGGTTTAGCATTTTTTCAGTCAGTTTGGGATGAAAGTGTGCGATCCTATTTTCGCCATAAACTTGGTAAGCTGAATTGTCCCTTTGTCTTTATTTATATCGAGTGTATTCTTTGCTTATTTAGCCGTTCAGCCGACAAATCTTAGATAGAATGATACATCGTGCATTTTACTGTTAGTCACACTCCGTATGTCGGAGTGTGGTATGTGCTACTGATGTCGATAGATATAAGTAGTATGTATCATCAATCAAAAGTGCAGAAGGTTAAGAAAACCGAAGAAAAGAGAACGAGAATAGAGAATGATTGATGTGGAAACGAAGGAACAATAAAGTCTGAGACGATTGACTGATATTTTGCAAATGAAGTATTTACTGTATGGTTCTCAGATTTTACTTAAGACGTTCTGTAATTTTGTGTTCAAATACATTCGACTGTCCTCACTTGTGTTCTCGTTCACTACGGTAGAACTTGTTATACAATAGCCAATGTCTAGGCAATCCTCTCATGACTGGGTACTTGAACTGTAGTTCAAATGTGTAGTCTAGCTGCTTGGATTTGGGTGACTAAATCAGCAATCTGTAGGTCCAGCATTGTGTAAACAAAAGATACCCATTATCCTAACTATTATGTTTTTATATTCAAGGGTTAGTGAGATACATTTATACTTTAGAACAAAAGCTGATTGTCGGTTTTTTAACCTTCCACTCCCGATGCGATCAGGAATGTAACATTTTGTCTGTAATAGTCAGGTAAATACTATAAAGCAGGTGTTAAGTCTGCACATTTGAGACATGGAATATTATGTTTCAGCCGTTTGGATGATATATACTATACTATGTTATATCGGTGCTTTAGATCTGAAATCATATCGACCCATACGTAGTTATCCAAAATTTCAGTTTTCACCTTCATATTTATTTCCATAGGGATCAAACTACTTAACCAGTTTCAGTAACACAACTTAGTTTTCTAAATTTTTAAGCTTTTCACTTCCAACTTGCAGACTCACCAGAACCAGTCTTTGAAATTCAGTTCCCAGATGCCCGTTTGCCACCTCAACAGAAATTTCCAGTCGCTGATACATGGACTAAACCTCGTCGTCACCCTCATGGTATTCCTCTGATAAGAGAAAGATATGGTGTGCACAGTGATGTATCTTTTGATGTTTACTTGGATCGTTATCGAGATCGTAAAGAATTATACGAGGAGATAGTCCACGAACGATTATTGAATGAAGGTAATCCTCTTGATCCAGAAGAGCCTCGTCGTAAAATATATGAATATCCAGCTGCTGTTCCGATTCCCCCGAAAATGCCCAGTTGGTGGGTCAAACAGGAAATGCAGCGTCGCCTACGTCGTGGTAGGTGGAGAGAATTGAATGGACATGACGGTTAATTATCAGTTAATCGTAAATAACTAGTTTCACTTTAAGCCCTTGTACAGCTATAAATACAATAAATATGTTTTTTAATCATCTGTTTGCTTTACATTTTGTTCGTCGTTTAATTGAGGATCTGCTAAAATATGTATTTACAATCAAAGCTGCTCTTATACTAACTGGGACGGAATTTATGTCGACTAAATTCGTCTTCCTATTCAGTAAGTTCTGGCTTTCAGAATAAGTTGGCTTACCTAGATCAGTTGTTAAGCATGGTATCTGATATTTTACTGGCTATTTCATTCCTTAACGGATCAAGTATAAGCTGTTGTTTGGGCTATCTCAATTTTTTGTCTTAAAGTTTGTTTACATTTGTGTGGTTAGTTATCTGCGACTTGCTCATCCCGAACACACTTTTGAGTATTGTACTATCTGGATCTCTGGATGAGAATGTTTACGAATTAGTAGCTATGTTTTTCAGTATCTTTTCACACAGTTTCCCAAAAAATCCTTTTGAGTCGTATACAAAATAAAGGGTTCTAGTTATAAGGTAATCAAAAGTTAAATCTTCATAACATAGGTACTGACAATTAACAGGTCCAGGCTGCTTGTTCAGTTTAAATTGTCCACTTTGTGTACATCATTATTAATTGTTACTTCACTGTTGTCACTGTTTTTCACCTTCTTATGCAAAGATCAAGGGATCACCTAATTGAAATGCTTCTCTTTTGTAAGTAATTTTTTTATCTATATTAGGTTGTGTACTGCTCCAACCGATTCCATTGTTTTATAGATTACCGTGTAACCCCTACTTTAAACAGTTTTCCACTCGATTATTTTGTTAATAAAGCATGAGCAATATAAGTAGTTGTCACCTGTTAGTAATAACAATAAATCGAATTCTTCAGATTTACGTAATGACGTAATCCTGAGTCCCATGCAGATATTTAAAATCTCGATAAACTATTAGATACAATTTTTAGACCTGAATTTACCAGGGACTTTATTTTGAAGGATATTCATTTACTTATTCGGTCACAGAAAACGTAAGAAATTCCGTCTCTAAACTTCACATCAGGATGTTGAAAGAAAATCGAAGAAGCTGAAGTAACGGCCATATAAATTGTACAAAAGAACCAAAAATAACACTCAAAGGAACAGAATTTAACTAAGTATTTCATATCATCATTATCCTTATATGCACCAAAATCCATTCAATCAGCTAACATAAGCATTTTTAATAATGCTTATTATTTTGCTAGTCATTATTATTATGAATATAATCCAAAGAGTAATTAAATTATTTACGGTCCTATCCAAATAATACATTAAGTTTAAGAGGAAATCATGTATAACATTTTCTACGAGATATCTGTCAATACTCTTAATGTTAGTCGATATACTGAATTCATAGTAGCGCAGATTGTTATGTTATGTCAGTGGTTTACTGTATAATAAATTTTTATATCGTTTCCTGAATCGCATTTCTAACCCATCACCATTTGTGAATTTTACCTGAATATTTACTAGTATTTTACAAGCTATTATGGTCACTTCCATTAATCTACCGTCGAGTATCCATTATTATATCATGTTGAACAATAAGTTTTAATCATTCTTTTGCTTATAGTACATTCAGGACACTTTCTCACTACTTTATCAAAATAATGCAATAAGCTTTCATAAGCATCTTAGCTTTACGATGAGATTAAATGTAAATGAAAGTATTTCTACTGTTATCATCAACATAGGCATAAATAAGTCGTTGCACGACATAAAGATTCATCACTTATAACTTATAAATGGGGTGTAATGAGTTTGGTTATTATCACTAAGTAAAAAGGTATCTTAGTGATTTACGAGATTTATGATGCGAAAGTCATTTGAGTTGCGTGACATAAAGATAAAAAAGTGATATAGAAACGAAGATAAACAGTGTGATAGGTAATTGGTTTTTATTCTACTCAGTAATCATTTTTGCAACATACTCTCCAAAGTGGTCTTGGAGACTACTGAAATCAGTTGCTTTTTCATTCCATGATATATTTTTATGGCTTTAATAGTCCATTACCATGTATGATTAAATTGCATTTGGGGGAGATTGAATAATTTGTTAGATACATATAATATACACTTTCTGACTTCCGTTTTCTTCCTCCCGTACTCACTCAGATTTTCTTGTCATTTATTAATTATTCATATTAACCTATTACATTTTCAGAATGGTAATGACTGCATATTTTATCAATAATCTTACACGAATTCTGGAGAATGGGTGAGTTAATCTATGTTCAAGAGGCAGTACTTTCTGATGCTTCAAGGAAATTTGGACATTAGTAGGGTTTAAACCGATGGCTGTAGAGATTATCCTTTCTGCTAATACAGATAGGATAACTTAAGGTTGTATGGTGTTCTGTTAGGTTGAATGAAAGATGTGTGTCGTTCGTATGCACATCGTTATGGTTATATTCGATAAGATTTCAAGAAAGCTTGATCTCAATTGTTTTTTTAGTACAAAAAATAATTTAAAATAATCCCGATGAATCGTGATATTTCTGAGTTTTACGTAAACTATGTTTGGTTGTTTCATCGGTCTAGAAAAATCTAATTTTTCAATCGTTGCCTTCTCAATCGGTCTATTCAGTACTGTCATTCCATCTGTTGTATGAGAGCAAACATTATATATATATATATATATATATATATATATATATATATATATATATATATATATATATATATATATATATAACTACTTACTTGAACATTTACAGACTCATACCATCTTATTTGACTGAATACGTGGTTAGAAAAAAGTAAACATATGCATACCTGTAAATTATAAAAAGATACCACAATAGATTAGTCGACTAATTCAACAAAGGGGTGTCATATAAAAAGTATAACTTGATTTGTTCTACTAGTTAGCGTTTACAGTGATTTTCCACTGAAGTTTAATTTTATTTAGAGGTAGATAGATAAGTAGAGGAATTAGTAAAACTGTTTAACCACTTGGGTACAAAAAATGTATGAACGAATTGGTCAGCCTGCTGTCATTTGCTTGGATTCATTTTAAGATGTATTGCTTGACTGAGAAGATTGATTGTTATCATTATTAAGTATCTTGATCTTCTTCATTTTCTAACTTTTCTGCCTTCCTTTTTTGTATGTTAAAAGATACTCGTTTTTGATTCTTCTCTTCTGTTACTTTTAAACACATGACTGAGTTTTAGAAAGTTCTTCATCGGTGTTTGCTTTTCAAAACTCTTCATGTCTTTTTTTTAAAAATAAAAACCTCATTTCTAAAAGAGGAGGTAGTAGTGAGTTAGTAGGTAAGTAGATAACAAGAAATTATGATTAAATAAATACATTCAATATGAAATGAATGTAGTAAGCATAACAAAACATAATAGAAATCATTACTCATCATTGTTATTATTTTTGTCTAGAGTATCGGTACTAGAAATAACATAGACTATGAAGTTGATGTGACGAACAATAATAAGTTATAATGTTTATTGGTAAGTAATTAATAATTGTGACTGTCACCTTATATTTACGTAATGAAGTCTACTACTCATTTAGAGACTACTTCTATCCTGGGCTTTCCTTTCAGTTGTTACCAAGTAGTGTTTATGGTCTTAATATCTATTTCCGATTCCTGTCGCAATGTATTATTTGGTCTTGAGCCTTTTCTTCCACCCTGAGGATTCTAAATTATGACTTGACTTATGATGTAGTTCAATGGTTTATGTAGAGTATATCCTATCCACCCCCATGTATACACCAGTGTTTAGTCTAGGCAAACCTCATTACATTGTAAGTTATATATGACTAAGTAACGATTAACAGTCCGCAAATATTCCTTTTTTTCTAAACTTTTGGTTATATCACAAAACGTCATTCATAAATTTTGGTGCTATGAAGTATTATGTCTTCAGTATAATTTTTTTAAAATGAATTTAACAGGAGTACTATCATTTTTCTCATATCCCACAATTAGGCTTTGGATATGTTATTTCAAATCCCTCTAATTTTTATGTACTCCATCCTATTGTCAACTTTTTTTAATCAGAACTAAATAGTAATCTATTGAAAACTAATAATGAATAGTTAACCTCTCATTATATTTAAATGGAATCACCATGATTTCATTTATAACTCAATTAACAATTAAATTCATTATCTATTTAACTATAATACTATTTAAACTAATTCATGTATCCTTTTAATCACTAAACAAGCATGTGATTTATCTCTATGTTGTGATTATAAATCTTTGATTAATAATATCTCTCATTTGTCTATTGAATAATATTTATTACATTTTGTTTTGTTTTTATATTGGAGTTTATGTTTACCAAGTTAGATTATTTTGATTGTAAGTGTTTCTCTATGTGTATATATCAACAGACAAATATATTTCGAAAATATCAGTAAATTTGATTATATTTGATATTGAGTAAAATTATCTCATCTATTCTTATTGATATGTGTTTATAAATTTAACTATTCCTATAGAATAAAGTGGAAATTAAATGATGATGAAGTAAACTTGTGGCACGAATATATATATATATATATATATATATATATATATATATATATATATATATATATATATATATATTGCGTCCTCTACAATGAATGGTTTATTTGTGAAGCGCTGAAACATTGATCAGAATAACCACATTATTGTATTCCTCAAAGAAAAATAAATGTTTTGTTGAGAAATTATTATGTTACGGGTAAATCACAATACCTTCTAGTGAATCGATTTATAATAAGTTGTTTTCAAAAATTTAGTTTTCTTAGTGTGAAATTGAATTTTTAGTGAATATTTTGTTAGAATTTGTTTGACCGTCTTTGTCCTAATTTTTTGATAGAATAAATTTATGTTTGAAGATTGGTTTAAATGTCAAGATTCTGAGCATTATTTAGAATGAGTACAGTTTCCTCTTGGTAAGATATAGACATAATTTCAGTTAAATCCTTGCATACAGGTGTCTATATAAACTGGCATAAATGATGACGTGTCTTATCGTTTAGGTGTACATCTATTTTTGTAAAAATGAGAGTGATTCAATTAGTTTTA